GCTACTGTGGACCATTCCAAATCAGCCACATGATTACCCCAGTGACAGCCCACTTACTGTTGTCGATAGACTGGTACATCAGCCCATCATTCCACGTCAGCCTGCTTCGCCCCTACATCCCAACCACAAGCCAACTGCCTCGTCACCGCCCGCCATCCATGACTCGCCCTGCATCGGAGCCGATCATCGAGCCCGAAAAAATCCTGAGCCATCGGATTCGACACCCCACGGGAATCAGGAGGATTGAATTCCTCGTTCGCTGGAAGGACCGCACGCCAACTGAGGATAGCTGGGTGCCCCTGGCCAACATCAAAAAACACCCTGCCCTGCAAGTGTACATGAGGAGCCGGGGTTTCCGCGATATACCGTAATCCCCCGTATATAGGACCCCCCCCAGTTGTAGACCCCCGGGTCTATAATACGGACCCGGGTACTCTATTCGAGTACATCTGAGATATACCCCCCTAAATGGCTCCTAACATTATAAGACCCCCCCACATCCTAGAGAAGTGCGGATTTTACAAAAAGTGCAATTTCGAGGCGAAATGGAACAGGCAGCCATCTTCTATGCGGCAGCCAGCCGAGCACAGTACGCGGAAAGAAACAGGAGGGGGAAGTGAAGTCAGCCCGATGAACAAGGACGTGCCAGAATACAGTAGGGGTGTCTGGAAGATCCCGCCCTTTCCAGGACATTGCAGCCCGCACGAAGCGTGCATGGGGTGTGAAGGCCGAGGCCATCAAACGGTGCCCTGCGCTGTCGTGTGAACACCAAGTGGTGTTGGTGGCCAATGGGAGGAGGCTCCCAGATAGGGTTCATGATGACGTGGGTTCGGCCCGTATGGAGACCAATTCGAGGATTTTTGGGAGGAGCTAAAAACGGAGCATTCCAAATCACTTCTTTGAGCTCCAAAACTACATTCTTATAAATGTCAATATGAACAGACCCGGGTCTTCTAAAAAATATACCATTTAATTATACCCCCCAGCCTTTTTAGGGGTGATTATCATAAGACCCTAGGGTCTTATATACGGGGGATTACGGTACACGCACTCGCGTAGCGGAGGAGGCTTCTTGAGGGGGGGGGTAGTGTAAGGAATTTTCTCGACATTCCTTAGCGCAGCCCGCAACATCGCGTACAGCAACAGCCGTTGTTCGCCCGTTACTGCTAACGGGGCTTCGCCAACTTCGAGCGCACTGTTTTCACCAAACCTCGCACTGCTGGAGCAGCCGAGTCGGCCTACGCTTCGGGACTAGCCCGAACCTCGCGCCGGCGTAGCACTAGCTAGCCAGCACGCGCCGCGTTACCGTTTGCATGTTTCGCGTATAAATGTTCGCTCATGCCTTCGCTCACATTTTGTACTCGTTTGACACATTAGTGCAATCCTCGCTACCTCGATCCATTGCACCCGTAACAATATGCAATGCTAGTCTTGTGTTATTTACTAGGTCACTCAGAGACTTGCTATCTGACAGAGCCTTACCATATCATAAGCCTGTGAGGTGTTGGTTGCCGCAACAAACCCGGCATGGCTACAGCTCGCAGCTAAGATAAATTACCTAGGTGGAACATGGTTCTTTCTCAATGCACTGGTTATAATATCAAACGGCATGATGCGGTGGGGATGGTTGGCCAGTGTGTGGTAACAATGGGCAGGGTGGGAGGCAGATCCACACGATCGCAAGCAAGGGGTCCTCTTGTGCCATGAGTCAAAGCCACTGTGTCCCCTGCATAGTGTTTCAGAGTCTAACGGGGGAAGTAAGAGATTAATGAATAGGTGTTAAGGGGATCCATGGTGCATGGTAAGAGGAAACATGCACGTGGCCTGGGCAAACCGAGTTGAAGAATGTGCCATCTGAAAAATGCATGAAGTAGAAAGCAACAGCCAATGGGACTGCCGATTCTAGTGTGTTCCTAGAGCTGGTGGAACGTCTTTAAATCAGCATCATGCCTGCAAACATGCACACTAGCGTCACAAGGGAAACGGTGGCAACATTAGCACTCTTTGGGGGTGGTGGTGGGGATGCCGCCTGGGTTCTCTGCTGCGCTGTAGCATTTCCACACGTCGCAATGCTCTTAATCTTCCCAAGCGACTGGCTGAACTGGTTGGCGTCAACCACGCCAGCAGGGCAATTTCCAGGCACAGTCATGTTATCGCAGCAAGAGGTGGACTTCGGAAGCGCCTTGGGACCACTGTAGCATTTGCCATTTGTCTGACGAAAGGGAGAGCAGAATAAGATAAGGTGCACAGGTGTTTCGAGAGCATGAGAACATTCCACACACAGATGCCTTGGAGTGATAAAGGAACTTCCGGATGTTGATGGTCACGTCATGTTGCAAACTTCGAGTTTGTATGCGTGCAATTTAATTGAAACAGATACACCAGCTGATTTCATAACGGTTCGAAGCAGTGATGCCACCCACCTTGTCGACGTTGATGGTCACGTCCGTCAGCCCTGTCGCCATCTTCACGATGCTCGTCATGGCGCCTGACATGAACCCTCCCGCGTCCTTGATCAGTGAGCTAAGCGGAAAGTTGTTATCTGCGAGAGTTAGCAGGGTGAACGTATAGAACAGCCCGTCAATATTACGTAACGAGGTGCAGACGGGGAAATATCTGAGATGCGCGAGCACTCTACCGCTCCAACGAGACGGCCAGACTCGGAAGAGGAGGGTAAATTGTTCATGTACTCTCCACTAGCCTGCCAGGTAGCGACCGGACTGCATCTGGATCGGGCAAACGAGTTCGCGACCGTTCTGCATTCGACACGAGAGGATGTAATTAGACGAGACGTACAAGTAAGTCCGGAGCAGGCGTCGTAGATCCGGTTCGCCATGGTTTCGCAGACAGTAACCGTTACAGCTCCATTGTTTGACGTCACATAGTTGCTGGAACCTGGGAGAGGTGGTGTCAGGCGAAAAAGCAGGAGACGTTATGAACTTAACGCCATGCTTTGAGAGAATGGTACAGGTAATCCGAGTTCCACAATACGTGTTCGCGAATGTGTCGTACCTGGATTGCAGGTTATAGCACAGATCATGCTCTCCACGAGTAATGAACATGTCTCCTTCCCCTGAAACATGCTGCAGAACTGCAAGACAGAACCACCAGATGAAGTAGGCATTAGCCGTTGCTAGTAGACACGACTTCATGGCCATGACAAATAAGCTCCGTGTCGCTCCGTGAATTACCTGAATTTCGGTGCCTTCAGGAACGAATTTTGCGTAATCTGGATTCATGTCGCTGACAAGCTTAGTCACGTCTGCTGTCAGGAGGTTCAGCGCGTAGCTGAAGTCGCTGCAGTCCTGGCAGCATGACGACTTAGCTGCATCGAGGCAGCGAGCGGAGGGAATTTGCGGAACGCTAGGCGGTTTTCCTGTCAAAGGACATGTTAACGGCGTGGGAACGGAGATTGCTGATGGGAGAAACACTGACAACAGCAGTAGCACTGTGCATGTCGTCTTCATGGCGACTAAGCCTAGCAGGTTTGGCTTTATTTACGACGACTGGAGGAATACGAAAGGCGAAGGGCTAGTGAACTACAGAAGGCCAAATTGGTCACGAACTCCAGGCTCTAAGAAGCTAGGGGCAATGGGAATCTATCTGTGTATGCTTTCTCAAAGTCTGTTCGTCGGAGCTTTCAGCGAGTCTCGGGATTTGCTCGAAGTAAGGTGACTGGAGTTATTGAAGTAGGACTTGGGGGACGAGATTTGTTCGCTAAACTTTTCGCCCTGCCTGCACCACACTACAAGCACACCCGCAGCGAATTCACGAAACATGGACGGTGTCGTGCACTGTTGGGAGATGGCGACGGCGGCAAAGGCAATTTTCACTTGTTCGGTGGCTGTAGGCTTCTGATTGGTGTTGTTTTGGCGGGAACGAATTGTTTGAATTCGCGGCTTGACAAGCAGCCGTTTTCAGGACGAACTCTTGTGGTATACGCGTGAGTACGATTTCTGGTAACGATAATATTCAGGACCGAGCTATAGTACAGACAAAACCGTGAAGTTTACGCTAAAGAGTTTAATGAGTATCTAAGTTTTGCAGTAAAGAACTTTTTCAGTACTTTGGGTTCAGATTGGCCTCGTTTATTATCTCAAGCGCATAATGAATATCATAAATCTATATCCCTAGAGTGTTTTTGTTTTCTCGTAAAAAGGAGCCTATTTTTCCCATTTCCGCATATAAATACTTATGTCCGTACCCCATGCGGAAAATACCTACAAGTGCAGATCTCGATTTTGTTATTGTACCGCGTGCTGAAAATACCTACGGTACAAGCGCGGACCCCAAATTTTGTTGGGAATTGGAACAAAGCCCACTCGATTTTATCCCCGATTCAGAGAGGCTCGAAGAAGCGTTTGAGAGGCTCAGCAAGGGAGGGGAGGAACTAAAGCGAACGCCTGTACGGCGGCTCGGGCGGATGGGAAATACGGGCGGAAGGAACTAATACGGACGTGAGAGCAAATATTAAGCTCGGTCGAGCGATTAGGCGAGTGACGGGCGGAAGGCGGGGGAGAGGGAGAGGGGGAGGGAGGGGAGGGAGAATGGGGAGGAGGAGAGCGAGCGAGAGTGGGAACGATGAGGTCGAGGAGGTGATTAGGGTGCCGAATGACGGCGATAATGAGCAGATTAGCGACGAAAGCGAGGACATTCGCGAAAGAGAAAACGAAAACGACAGGAACGGCGGGGAAGACGACGTCAGGGAAATTCCCCTCCGAGCGTCGAAAAAGCGGCAGGTGAAGCCTGCGAGGGTCTCCTTAGCTACAGCTCGCGTGATTTCGGGCCGTTTGCAGCGAACTTTAGCAACAAGTGAGAGGATTCGGGGGATTGGCAGCACGCGCGCCGGGGAGAAGAGGAGGGAGAGAAGAGAGAGAATGGAGAGAAGGGAGGCTGGCAGGTCCATCCGTTTAGGGCGCGCTGTAGATACAGGTGAGGGACTCGCAAGCACGCGAGTTGGGGGAAAGAGGCAGGAGAAGCAGGAGATTAGGGTTGAGGCGATGAGAGGGGTTGAGACGAGGAGAGGCAAGGGGAACGCGGTGGTAGGAGGAGGGAGTAGAGGCGGGGTAAGTGGGGGTTCGGATTTGGGGAAGAAGAAATTGCACTGGAAGCAGAGGAAAGCGATGGAAGAAAAGAAGCAAGCGGATGAGGGGAAGGGAAAGCAAGAGGGAGAAACTGCTGAGGCGGATTTGGGGAAGAAGAAATTGCACTGGAAGCAGAGGAAAGCGATGGAAGAAAAGAAGCAAGCGGATGAGGGGAGGAGAAATAGAGCAGGAGAAAACGGGGAGGCGGATGAGGGGAAGAAGAAACTGCACTGGAAGCAGAGGAAAGCGATGGAAGAAAAGAAGCAAGCGGATGAGGGGAAGGGAAAGCAAGCGGGAGAAACTGCTGAGGCGGATTTGGGGAAGAAGAAATTGCACTGGAAGCAGAGGAAAGCGATGGAAGAAAAGAAGCAAGCGGATGAGGGGAGGAGAAATAGAGCAGGAGAAAACGGGGAGGCGGATGAGGGGAAGAAGAAACTGCACTGGAAGCAGAGGAAAGCGATGGAAGAAAAGAAGCAAGCGGATGAGGGGAAGGGAAAGCAAGCGGGAGAAACTGCTGAGGCGGATTTGGGGAAGAAGAAATTGCACTGGAAGCACAAGAAAGCAATGGAAGAAAAGAAGCAAGCGGATCAGGGGAAGATAAAGGGGGGTAGGTGGGGGAATGAAGTGGAGAGAGCTGGAGAGGAGGAGCGGAAGTTGGGACGTGAGGGAGGGGATGAGAGGGGGGATGGACGGGGGGATGAGAGGGGGGATGGAAGGGGGGATGAGAGACGGGGGAAAAGGAGAAGGACGTTAGAACGGGGGACACAAGAGAGAGAGGCGGGAGAGGAGGAGGGTGCAGGTGAAGGGGAGGAGATGAGCACCCGTGGCAAGCTGATGAAGCCGATCAGCAAGAAGGTGGCGAGTGGTTCGGCAGAAAGGCGACTTGTGAGTCCACTCAGGAGTCAGCTTGAGAGGGAAGCGGGAGAGGAGGAAGAGGAGGGTGCTGCAGGTGAAGCGGAGGGGACGCTGAGTGGGGTGAGCAGAGGAAAGGCAACGGCGAGTGAATCGGCTGAAAGGCGGAGGATCAAGGGAGTGCTTCTGGCAGAGGAGATTAAGTGGGGGATAAAGAAGGTGGTGGAAACAGGGAATCTAGAGCAGGTGAGCGACTGGGATCGTGTTTTGAGTCGACTCAAAACAAGGGACGGCTCCTGGCAGAGGAGACTAAGAAGGAGATACAGAAGGTGGTGGAAACAGGGAATCTAGAGCAGGTGAGAGCGACTGGGTTGAGTCTACGTTTGGGGCGCTTCAACGGCGGAGGATCAAGGGAAGGCTCCTGGCAGAGGAGACTAAGAAGGAGATACAGAGTGTGGTGGAAGCAGGGGATCTAGAGCAGGTGAGCGACTGGGAGTAGAGACGACGAGTGAATTGGCTGAAAGGCGGAGGATCAAGGGACGGCTTCTGGCAGAGGAGATAAAGTGGGAGATAAAGATAAAGAAGGTGGTGGAGACAGGGAATCTAGAGCAGGTGAGCGCAACTGGGATTAGGGACCTGGAATGAGGGAGTGAAGTCTTGGGACTTTCAGGTCTCTGGAATGTTGACTAGACTGGGAGTGAGATCTTGAGGCGCCTGGAATGAGGAATGAGGGTCCTAGAATGAGGGAGTGAGATCTTGGAACTCTCAGCTCCCTGGATTGTTGACCATATTGGGAATGATGTCCTTAAATCCTGGAATGATGAACGAGGGACTTGGAATGAGGGAGTGAAATCTTGGGATTTACAGGTCAATACCGGGAGTTTAAATAGGGAGATTTAAGGAGCAGAAATTAGAGGCATATGGTGCGTTCCTCCTTTTCCTCATGTTGCTCCCCTGTTGCTCGTCCCGTTTTTCTCCCCTTTCCCCCCTTCCCTTTCTTCCCCCCACCCACCGACTTGCTTGCTGCTGCAGACGACTGTCGTATCTGTGCAACAGCAGCTAGGTGTGCCTCTGAGACGTCTCAAAAACACCCTCTCTACACGTGGCTCTTCCCCACACCCACCGACTTGCTTGCTGCTGCAGACGACTGTCGTATTCGTGCAACAGCAGCTATGTGTGCCTCTCTTCCTGAATACACTTTTGAGGCGTCTCAAACGTACTCTCCCCTCCCTCTTCCCTCCCTCTCCCCTCCCTCTCCCCCGCTTCTCCCCCGCCTCCTACCAACCTTCTGTTGCAGATGACTGTCATATCCGTGCAACAGCAGCTAGGTAAGCCAACTCGTGCCACGTGATTCCACTGTTCCACATTCCCCTCACTACCTGTTCCAAAGCTTGCCTGACTTGACCACACACGATCTCCCTCTCTCCCCCTCTGCCTTTCTCTTCCTCTCTCCATCTCACTCCTCATCTCTCCCTCTTTCTCCCTCTGTTTCTCCCCCCTCGATTCCCCTCAAGCAGGGAAGGTTTTCGGGGAGAGCCATTCGGTGAGCAACAGGCGAGTGAGGGTTTTGGTGACAGAGATTTTCCAAGAGGAGTGGCATATGCTGGAACAGCAGCAGCGTGAGGAGCATGTTGGGGTGAGAACGTGAGGGGCACGTCAGGAATGGTCGCGTGAAGTTGCTTGTGTGTTGATTCAGGGGAGTGAGCAACAGGCGAGTGAGGGCTGTGGTGACGGAGATATTCTATTCGGAGAGGAGTGGCATATGCTGGAATGGCAGCGTGAGGGGCACGTTGGGGTGAGAACGTGAGGGGCATGTTATGGTGAGAACGTGAGGGGCATGTTATGGTGAGAACGTGAGGGGCATGTTATGGTGAGAACGTGAGGGGCATGTTATGGTGAGAACGTGAGGGGCATGTTATGGTGAGAACGTGAGGGGCATGTTATGGTGAGAACGTGAGGGGCATGTTATGGTGAGAACGTGAGGGGCATGTTATGGTGAGAACGTGAGGGGCATGTTATGGTGAGAACGTGAGGGGCATGTTATGGTGAGAACGTGAGGGGCATGTTGGGAATGGCCGCGTGAAGATGCTTTTGTGTTGATTCAGGAGTGAGCAGCCGACGAGTGAGGGCTGTGGTGACTGAGATGTTCGGAGAGGGGAGTGGCATGTGCTGGAGTGGCAGCAGCAGAGGGGCATGTTGGAATGGCCGCGTGAAGGTGGCTTTATGTTGATTCAGGAGTGAGCAGCAGGGGAGTGAGGGCTGTGAGGGCTGTGGTGGCAGAGATATTCGGAGAGGAGTGGCATATGCTGGAGTGACAGCGTGAGGGGCATGTTGGGATGTCAGTGTGGAGGGTGTGTTGGGATGTCAGCATGAGGTGTGCCTTGCAATCTGTCAAGATGACTTATGTGTGTTGATTAAAGGAGTGAGTAGCAGGCGAGTGAGGGCTGTGGTGCCTGAGGTATTCGGAGAGGAGTGGCATATGCTGGAACGGCAAAGTGAGCGAGATGATGCAATGGAGTGGGATGGTGCAATCGCCATGTGAAGGGCATGCTGCACAGTTGACAGGGGTGTTGCATTGAGAGTGCCAAGGGGAGTGGCACGGCTTCGCAAGCAGCAGCAGCTGAGACCCTCAATCAACATGTGGTGCTAGTTTTGTGTAAGATTGGATTGTCATTGCTAAACAACTGAAACCAGTATAGGTGATTGTAAAGGGAGTGGACTACGGTATTTGTTGTCCCTGTATATTATGTAAAATAAGTATAGATGATAGCAGTAAGGAAATTGTTCCTTACTTTGTGTCGTCCTGCATTTGGTCTACAGCACTGTTCATTGCACGTCGCGAGAATCTGCCCTGCTACCGCTCTTGAAACTTCACCCATCCGTTACTGTTCACATCACTCCTTGGTTATTTCCCAAACCTGTCTCAAGGGGTCCGATGCGGTCCCAAGGGGTCCCATGGGGTCTCAAGGGGTCCCTTGCAGTCCCAAGGGGTCTCAAGCCATCACATGGGGTCCCAAGGGGTCCCATGTGGTCCCATGTGGTCCCATGTGGTCCCGAGGGGTCCCATGGGGTCCTAAGGGTTTCCATGGGTTCCCAAGGGGTCCCAAGTGGTCCCAAGGGGTCCCATGGGGTCCAAAGGGGTCCAATGGAGTCTCAAGAGGTCCCACGGGGTCCCAGAGGGTCCTAAGGGGTCCCACGGTCTCCCAAAGGGTACGCACCCACGCTCGCACGCACACATGCACGCACCCCCACACACACACGCGCGAGCGCGCGTACACACCAACACACCCACACCCACACACACGCACACACACACCCACCCACACACCCACCCACACACCCACCCAGGCGTTATTGATTAGCCGTCAGTCACTTCGACGCCTAAGGTGAAAATCATACAAGCTATAAGCCTTTATTCTGTACTTGCAGCCAAACCAAAGAACCTAATAGTGGAACTGCAGCACACAGCTAGTAATCTACAACACAAAGCAAAGCAAGACTCATACGGTACACCTCATACTCGATATAAAGTATGCTAGGTCTCCATCCTCCACATCGCCCCACATCTGCTGCAGCCGCCTCTGCATGCGCGGCGTGGGAGACAGTCTTGGGGAGGGTACTCTCGGGGGCAAGGGAGATGACGCCTCCAGCTCCAACTCCTTGAAACCGCTGCCCACTCCTGCACTTGCACCTTTTATCTCTTCCAAACTGGAGCTGCGTCCAAACGATGATTGGCCTGGACCACCATTCCTGGTGTGCGGGACTGCTTGCTTCTTAGGCGCCTCAAGAACAGTATTGTCTTTCAAACTGGAGCTGCGACCAAAGGATGAGTGGCCTGGACCACCATTCCTGGTGTGCGGTATTGCCGGACCACTCATGCCCAAATGCTGAACCGATGAGCTCCGGCGAATGGCTCGGGATGGGGCGACAGGCTCGGGGGCAAGGGGAAGAGGTCCGGAGTAGGAAGGGGAGCGGTTGTGACGGTGGTGAGGTCGCTCGGTTAAGCTCCTGCTGCCCCGCTGCACGGGTCGCCGAGCAGAACATGAAGCCTGAGCAGCCCGTGCTTTCTCTTCCGCTCCTCTCCCTTCAATTGCCTCCTTGGCTGCTTTCTCTGAGTTTGCGGCAGCGACTTGAGTGGCTGCTTCTGCTGCTGCTGCTGCTTCTGCTGGTACTCTTTCAGCCGCAGCAGGAGCTGCTGCCTCGGCTAGCGCGGCGAGTGCAGCATCAGCAGCAGGGCAAAGGTCAGCATCACAGGCAGAGTAGCGTCGCACGCGAACCATGTTGGAGAAAGACACTCGCCGCACGTGCCGCCCCTTGGGAACTCCATTGGGGGAAAGACCTGGGGAGGGAGGTCCGGTGGTAGATGTCGCAGCAGCAATAGCGTCTGCTGTAGCTGTGGTAGCAGCCTCGGCAGTGGTGGCTGTTGCAAGTGGGTTTGCAGAGGTGGGGATGGAGAGTGGTGAGCTGGCAGGGGGTGATGACGTGGCATATGCGGGCGACATGCTGTCAAGTGATGTTACTCTTTTCAGCCCGCCTCGCCGGAGAATGCCGCCAGCTGTCGCGCTCCGAGTGGAAGAATTAGCTGCAGAGGCAGCTGCTGGATTCCCATTGGCTGGAAATCTCGTGCCAAATGCTTGGTTGGAAGGAGCATTGCCTGCTGAGTCAGCACCAATGCAAGGTGAGTCATCCGCAACACACACTATCGATGCGTTCAGATTCAGATCCAGATTCTGATTCTGATTCTGATTCTGATTCAGATTCGTTGACAGCATCCGGTTCGGGCTGCTTACAAAAATATTCCTCCCTGCCTGCAGGGTGCACTGCGAGCTGTTCCATTGGCTGCTCATGCTGGGCATAATATTTTCTTGCTGCCCTGATTCACTGCTGAGAGAGAAGCTGCTATTAGCCGCCAACGCAGCTAGATTTTCGTGCGAAGTCTCCCGACCGGAGGCTAGAAAGAACGAAGACGCAGAGGACAAGCAGGGGGAGGGGGAGAAGGATGCGTGAGAGGGCGAAGTGGGGATGCGGCGGGAGGAGGCGGAGGGGGGAGGCGGAAGGCGAAGGCTAGGTGTCCGCGGTAAGGCCTGGGAGGTGGGAGTCGGGGTCAGAGCGAATTGGGCGGGGAAGATCACCGGCGCTGGCGCCGCCATCACCGCAGCAGTTCTAGTAGTCGTAGTAGTAGTAGTATTAGTAGAACTGTTAGAACTGGTGGTATAGCTCCGAGTCTTGGGGAAGAATACCACCTCCGCCGCGGCATGTCGACGCACAGGCTGACGTTTGGGCGGATCCGAGAAGGCTCGGCGGCAAGGCCCTCCCCCCGCGGCGCTAATAGCCCCTTCAAGCGAGTCCTCACGGTCGCAGCTGGAGCCAATTGGTACATCATGAAAATTAATCGATACATTTGTCGCAGGCGCGGCGGAATACGCGGCGGAATACGCGGCGGACGGCCCGCCGGCGCCGGGAGGCGACGGATCCATCGAGAGGTAAGCCGAGGAAGCGGCGGAAGATGCGGCGGTTTTCGAATCCACAGGAAGGAACGCTGCTGCCGCCGCCATGCTAGCGCTAGATCTGTTTGAGTATCTGTGAAGGCTTGCTAATCCATGGTATATGGTAGACCCAGAAAGAAAAGTGGGGGAAAGGCAACAACGAGATGCAGTGCAGACTGGTTAGGGCGAGGTCAGCGCGTCGTCCATCAGTTCATCCGTCCGCCAGTGGCGCAAAAACATTCCAGACCGTGCACAGCGGTTATCAAGCTTCACCCTTTTAAACCGTGACGCAACAACAGTAACCGCACACAGCATACTGTAAACGAAAGCGCTAACCTCGCCCTTAGGGCCGGCAATTGCGTTGTTGTCGGACAACTTCTGCAGGCCTGCATGATGAAATAGGAGTTGAATTGAAATAGGCCGCTGCTGAGACGAAATAGGAGTTGAAGGTGGGCATTGTACTCAAAAGGACAACCCATCCCTACGAGGGTGGAAAGAAAATACGGGTTTGTTCGTTTTGCCCGACGGGCAGGCGTTGAGGGGTCCATGCGATGGACATCAACGGTCCATCGCCCGGGCGGAGTCAACTGACCTTTGAGATCTACGTAGTATTCATTGTGGTCTTTTTAAGGTTGGGTTGGGACACCCAGCGAGTTGACAGTTGAAAGGCAGGGGTGGTGCACCTGGTCTGACAGCGCAAACATGGGCAGATGCCAAAAAGGACAGGCATTGTTTAGAAAATATCAAGGATTTTGCGAATGTCGGGATGAAGGCAACGGGCCAATTGCAAAGCGGGGAAACAAACTCTGGTTTCAATCGTGATTTCCTTGTGCTCGCTCTCCGAACCTTGCCGAACCTCCAGTTGGCGGTTTTCAAAGCCTGGTCGCGAATTTGAAGCAACAATCAATTGGTTGTTCCTGGAACGAAGTGACATGACATGGTGCCAAATATGGATGTACAGTGTGCAAAACGCGTGACGTGAGGTTGGGAAAAGGCAATCAAACAAAGCCCACAAGTAGCAAAATCAAATCCAAAGTTTTTCTCAGGAGGCTGCCCAAAAGTCGATCACGACTTTCAAGCTCAAATTGGATTGTTGGACCGTAGGCGGATGCATAGTTGTCGAAGTTCAATTGGCCCTTCGTTTCCCCTGTGCGACTCTTGTTTCCCTGTTTATCATTTGCCCCATCCTTAGGGGGTGTTACTTAGCGCGCTGGTCCATTTACAAGGAAGTGGACCAGCGAATTCAAGGGAGCACCATTTTAGAGGGACCACTTCCAAAAGTGGTCCCGCGTGGTACCGGGGACCATTTGCGGCGGACCAGCTATGGACAGTGCATTGCAGCTTCGAAAACGAAGGGTTGACGAAAACAAAAGTGTACCTGGTCAAGCTTGAACATGATGTCGCACACAGCAGTTACGTTTGGCGAAACAATCAAACGCAGTTTTCGCATGCGATTCCCATCGCCTTGGGTCGCTCTGGAAATGGTCCTGCGTGTCGAGCGTCGTTTTCGTACGTGCGCCTCGCACTGTACATGCTGGTCCGTGGGCGGGTGCAAGTCGGGTCCACACCTGGGCCGTTCGCTGGTCCATGCTGGTCCGTGCTGGTCCGCACAAATGCCCCTGGGCCGCAGCGGCCCAGCACAGCCCAGCGTAGTTCTTGCGCACATGTAACACCTCGTACCCATTTCTCCACCGTATCTCAACCCCCGCCTCTCCCCCTTGCAAGTCTCCTAAACTTCAGCAAATCCATACCGTTTTCCAGCACTCTTTTTGTTTGACCTCGAAAAAAATTGCACAATAGGGTACGCTTGCCAACTCCGACCAGTTAAAGCTCAAGGCCCAAATTGTGGGCCGCGCAGGGCAAGATTAGTAATCTTGCACACTTCTCGTTTTCTGTGCTGGTGTGTGGCGAAAATTTGGTTACAATAGGTGCGATGCAATCTGATTGGTCGAAGCCAGACTCACTACCAAAGCATCGAGTTTTACTACTCTGCAATTTGGGACTCGAGGTCCCCAAACCCACGTTTCCCCCTGAAGTTCGCTGACTCAGCGAAAAAACCAAGTGTTACGGGCGAAATCAGACAGGTCAACTTCCCAACACTCTCCTCGACTCTACCCACCACTCAGCACTCAAACTTACCCAAGATTAGTAATCTTGCGCAATTTGGGCCTTGAGCTTTAACAAATAGCCGCTACATTTCCGAAGCATACTGTGTGTTAAAAATATAAGATCAGATCATATGTCAGCTCGTTCTTTGTCTCACGATCCTACACAGAAAGAGGAAAAGAGGGAAAGAAAGACATAAATGAAGGAAAAAGGAGATGGAGAAAGAAAGGGAAACACACATAACAACCCCCCTCAAGATACCCAATCGAAACGCCCAGTCAAGACACCCCATCAAGACACCCCATCCCGCACCCCATTTCACCCCCCCCCCAATCAGAACAGTGCATCCACCATGTACGGGGCCTCCACCCAGAGAGCCCCGCCTTCCACATCGACATCGTCCCTATCCCGGTCCACCAAATCGACGTTGATCCCCCCCATGGAAGACGCCGCCCGAAGCAGGATAACACGGGCTTGCGCACGTTGCAACGCCACCCCGATGAGCGCCTTCAGGGACCCTAAAAGATAAGCCGAAAACACAGTGTCGTCCTCCCGACAAGCCACCCGCGACACAGCTAGCCCCACGTGCGCATCCCCCTGCTGACGAAGCCACCGCTGAAAACGACCGCCGAGACACCCCCACGTCTCTACTATCAGAGGGGTAAACTGCACTCCCCGGTTGCGTGCGAGCAGAGGCGCGTAATCATTCGTTTTGCGACGCTCCCACTCTCTTGCCGCCACACCTATTTGACGCCCGCACTGTCCTAGCAGAGATGGAGACAGCGATAGCGGGTCCACGACGCTGATCTCTACATTGGCAGGGTAAAGATATGCTTGAAACGGATACTGTGTGTGGTACACTACGTTGGCAGGGTAAAGGTATGCTTGAAACGGATATCACTACGTTACCACTACGTTGGAAAACAGAATTTATGCATGAAAGAAGGTGATTTGTTATGCCTGTATATTGAGTAATGCAAGTAGTGAAAACCAAGTTGTCTTTATCAAGCCCGTGCGTAATTGTATACTTTTGTACACTTCAAACACATTATAGCCTGTCTGGGTTAGTAAGGAATAACTTTACCTATGGTGCTTGTACCGTAGCACAATCACAACCCTTAAGCCTGTACAGACGCCACGAAACACGGCCAGCCATGAGCCTTGAGAGAAACGTTTCAAATAACTCGGTTGCTTTCCCACGACTAGATGAACACCACAGCCTTGCTATCCTCGTGGCCTCTCACTATTGACCTCACAAGGGGTCCACAGGCAGCGTTGGAGCCTGACTGACTACCCATCAGCTCTGCATCCCCTTTCAACCTTGTTTCCGGAATGCTTCGGTAAGTCAGAAGCCGAATCACTTGCTTGAGCGGACCACAATTGGCCTCATAGCCTCGTTATCCATCAACTCTGCAATCCCACAGTGCCACGCGTACCCAGGCCCACTCGTCGCATCAAACCCAAACCCTCCCTTCACTCCTCCTCCTCCTCCTCCCATGCTGTCTGCACTCCCCCACGCGACCCAGAGTGACAGGACTTGTCTTGGCCAGACCACACTTGTATCCTGCCATCCCAGCCTCTCCCCTCCCGGTATTCCCTTGGCCTTTTTTATGAAACACGACCGAGGGGCTGTTTGTGATGGAGGTTTGCTGATAGGCAGCTTTGTGTTTGTCGTCTCCTCCTTTGTATTCTCCTCCCTTTCTTGTCTTCTGCTGCTGCTGCTGCCGCCACTGCTGCCACTGCTCCCGCTGTTCCCACTGCTACCGCGGCTGCTACTGTTTTTGTGGTTACCAGATTTACTGTGGCTATCCCACCCCATCGCCCGATCGAACGCACAGAAGCCGTCCAAAAAGGCCTCGGCGTCGAATCGACGGCGGGAGATGGGGCGGTGGAGCGCCAGGGGGATATGAATGGGGTGGGCGATGGGGGAGAGGTTGACTATATGCCACACCTCGTACGTCCCCTGTCGTGTAGGAGAGCAGGGGAAGGGAGGGAGGCAATACAAGGGGAGGGAGAGAGAGGAAAGATGGGAAGAGGTGCGTTGGGAATGGTGGTGGTCGAGAGTGGTGGGGTGACGTTTGATTAGCCTTGTGGTGGTTTCAAGTCAGTTGGAGATGGGGCAGTGGAGTGCCAGGGGGATGCGGATGGGGTGGGCGATGGGGGAGAGGTTGACTATATGCCACACCTCGTATGTCCCCTGTTGTGGTGGGAGGGCAGGGGAAGGAAGAGAGGAATAAGGAGAGACCGAGAGTTGGGGTGTGACACAAACAACACGGGGCATTGGGGATGTTGTGGGTGACGGGAGAGAGGTTGATTATATGCCACACCTCGTATGTCCCCTGTTGTGTTGGGAGGACAGGGAGTAGGACGACAAAAATCGGAAGAAGGAGTTTGGCGGAAACAGGATTCGGGAATTGGGGATGGGGTGGGCGATTTGCAATTGGCTGACAAATTGCCAAACCTCTGCCCTTTGCTCGTCTCCCCTTTTTTCCCGTCTCTCCTCTCCCCTCTCTCTCCTCCAAACACCTCTCTCCCGTCTCCTCTCTCATCGCTCCTCAACCCCCCAATCCTACCATATCCACTCCCCTGTGTCACAGGTTAATCTCCCTGTGTCTTTCAGTAACCACAACCTCACTTACAGACACCTCTCTCGATGCTTCACTGGGTGTGTCTTTAAAGCCCGTGTTGTCGAGCAGACAGGAGTCTACAGCCGACAGCCTTCTTCCCCTCACCGGTCTTCCTTTTCCCACACCCCCCCTTACCCCTCCTCACCCCTACAGACACGTAGTTTTGAGTCGACTCAAAACTCCCCCCTCCCCACCCCGACAGACACGTACCGCTCGGAGCGCTTCAGTCAGTGCGTCCTTAAAGCCCGCGTTCTCGATCAGCACGCGCAAAGGGCCGCCTACGGACAGGCTTCATAGCTGCTTTCTTTCCCAATCCCTTTCCCCCACCGCGCAACGTACCACTCTGGGCGCTTCAGTGGGCGCATCCTTAAAGCCCGCATTGTCGATGAGTACACGAAGAGGGGCGTCAGCTTGTGCGTCTTTAAACGATACAAGCATCTTCCACCTGTGCTGTGCTGCTTGGGACAGATTGATCGGAGGAAGGGGGTTCTGGAAAAGTAGGGAGGCGGGAAGGAGGAGTGGGAAAGGGAGGAGGAAAAAGGGAGGCACGGAGGGGCGTCAGCTTGAGCGTCTTTAACCGAAACCAGCATCTTCCACCTGTGCTGTGCTGCCTGGGACAGATTGATGCGGGGAAGGGGATTCTGGGGAAGCAGGGAATGGGAGAGGGAACGAGAAATGGGGGAATCAGGGGAATTGAGGTGGGGATCCGGAGAGCAAAAAAACCTCAGCTTGGGCGTCTTTAACCGATACAAGCATCTTCCACAGGTGCTGTGCTGCCTGGGACAGATTGATTGGGGGCAGAGGGTTCTGGGGCGGTTGGGGCGCGAGGGATGGGGAAAGAGGAGAGAGGGCAGAAGTGGGGCAGAGGTGCGTGTGTGAGATGGACGGGTCTCGGACGTGTATCAGAAACCTCAGAGTCTCTGAGGCTCACTCAGAGTTTCATGCTCTCAGAGTGCCAGGCATCACAGTGTTGACGGCTATTATCGTGGCGGCTATGAAATGGTATCAGCGTCACCTGAAAGTGCGTACGCTTGCCGGCCCATTCGTTCCAACTTTAGGAATTCTCAAAAGCCGGCACGCTGCTGCACGCCTTTCATTTTTTAGAGATCGACAAGACAAGCAGCATGTATCAAAACAGGCTCCAGCCATCACCAGCATTTCCATCACTGCTTTGCTGCCCGGGACTAGTTTTTGTTGGGGTAAAGTGGGCTCTGAGGAAACTCACCACTATTTTCTCGGGTATTTTCGGGCTAGGAATCCTTTTCGTCAGGGTGACCACAATCCGCATGACCACCCCCGTGTGACTGTTCGGAGGTGTGCCGTTAGGGAAAGGCGCGGGGGCGGAATTCGTTACAATCACGTCCCGGCAGAAGGAGGGCAGAGAGGAGAAATCCACAAGAATGTCCTTTCGCTCCCCTGGTGCGAGTAGGAGTGAACGAACGTAGGATGGGCGGACGAGGTACCCTGCATCACTGCTGATCTGGTTGGTTGGGGTTGTTGAGGAAAGCAGGGAAGGGGGTGTTGGAGGAGTGAGGCCGTGTGGTAAGAGTGAAGGAGGGCAGAGAGGAAAAAGTCCAGTAGAATGGATTTTCTCTCGCCCCGGGCGAGTAGGAATGAACGGACGTAGGATGGGCGGACGAGGTACCCTGCGTCGCTGCTGATCTGTTTGGGGGAAGTAAGGGGGGATGTAAGGAAGAGTGAGGGAGTTCCGGGAAGGGTGAAGAGGGTGAATGTGAGAAGAGTGAGGGAGGGCAGAGAGGAGAAATCCACGAGAAAGTAGATTTGCTCGCCTGGAGCGGGTAGGAGTGAGCGGATGTAGGATGGGCGGACGAGGTAGCCTGCATCACTGCTGATCTGGTTGGGGGCGTTGGGAGGGCTGAAAGGAGGAGTGAGAGTGTGTGAGAAGAGTGATGGAGGGCAGAGAGGAGAGGTTGCCAAAGAGAGGAGATTCATGAGGCTATTTTTGAGTCGACTAGAGAATAGACTCATCACACGTGGAGACCCGTGAGCATGTAATGACTCACCACTCTCCATTGTGGGTGCTCACGCAATTTCGCGATCGGCGCAGACGAAGAAAAGAACGAAGTAGACAGACAATACGTCATTTGAGCAATGTTTACCTGGGCGAACTTGACTCTGCCTCCCTTGAGAGGAGGATACAAGTTGGGGTAATCCTTGCGGTCGGCGCAAACAAGCGAGAGGTTGAAGAAGCGAGCGTTGGCAGCGGAGAGCAGGCGGAACCTGTGCAGCGCCGGGCGGACCTTGAGGTATGGCCAGACCTGGGAGGAGAGAGGGAGAAAGAGAAGAGAGGGAGGGGGGGGAAGAGGGGTGAGTTGATAGGGCTTATGGAATGGAGGCTACCATGGATAGAACTGCATGTCTGTACCCCTGCTGAATTAATACAACGGACCATTTGAGGGGGGGGAGTAAGGAGGGGAAAAACAGAGCGCACACGACTGAGAGGTTGAAGAAGTGAGCATTGGTGGCGGAGAGCAGGCGGAATCTGTGCAGTGCCGGGAGGACCTTGAGGTATGACCAGACCTGGGAGGAGAGGGAGAGGGAATGCAGGGAATTGAGGGGAATGGGCGATATAAACAGGTAAATTAATTAGCCATAAGCTCGCCAGATCGTGAATGAGGATTGCGTTGCGCTAGAACCCATTCCACCCAGCCAAGATGCACATCAGGCACCGCTTTTCTCCTTACAAGTAGTGAAGCAACCCGTTCCTATACAATACTCGTTACAAACACACTCGTTAGTTGGCTAACTCTCACCAGCCCATTCACGAGCAAAGGCGTTGCTGTCGAACCCATCCACCCAGCTACAAACGCACTCGTTATAAACCTCCTACACTCATTACACCTGCATTAGCCATAATCTCACCAGCCCATTAACCACGATGGTGTTGCCGTAGAACCCATCCACCCAGCTGGGATGCACGTCAGGCACCACCCCTCTCCTTGGGTAATACAGCGATCCATTCGCTGTGAACGTGCGATCAGCCAAGACCAGAGGGAGGCTGTAATCCCCCTTGGGAATCCAGCTCCCTACCCCGGCCCCCCACACCCTCACATCCCCTCCCCCCTTCCTCTCTTCTCCTCCTCCCGCTCCCCCTCCTCCGCCTCCTCCTTCCCCGCTTCCCGTTTTCCCCCTCCTCCACTTCCCCTCGGCCCCGTCAGGATCCGTTACAACGTACAGGCCTGCCATCCCCGCTATAAGGTTCAGCCTCCCCATGCCCTGGGTGCGGTCCCGATACCAGAGGAGAGCTGCTGAGTGCTGGTTCAGGTACTTATACGTTTGCGAGTAATAAGCATAATCCTGAGGGGCTTCAGGGCCCGAGGAATCGAGAGAGGGAGGGAGAGAGGAGGAGAGTGGGGAGGAGGAGGAAGAGAAAGAGGAGGAGAGGGGAGAAGAGCGGGAGGCTCGGGAGGAGCGGGTGGAGGAGCGGGAGGACAATGCGGGGCCTAGTTCGCCGTACTGAGTGAACCAGGCTTGGGGATGGCCGGAATAGGAGCTGTGTGCGTGGCCTCCCTGCCTGAAGGGCACTGCAAAACAGACACGGAGGTGGGAGGACACGCGGAGGGGCAGGAGAGGGGTGTAAGGGCAACGGGAGGAGGAGCGGGAGGACAAGGCGGGGCCGAGCTCGCCGTACTGTGTGAACCACGCTTGGGGATGGCCGGAGTAGGAGCTGTGTGCGTGGCCGCCTTGCCTGAAGGGCACTGTTAAGGGGAGATGGAAGGGGGTGATACGGGGAGAGACACAGAACAAGTGGGGTGTGAGATCAACAGGAGGAACGGGTGGAGGAGCGGGAGGACAGGGCGGGGCCGAGCTCGCCGTACTGAGTGAACCAGGCCTGGGGATGGCCGGAGTGGGAGCTGTGTGCGTGGCCTCCCTGCCTGAAGGGCACTGCAGGGAGGGAGGGGGAGGGGGGGCATGGCCGGGATGGAAAAGGTGGAGATTTGGGAAAGGGAGGACAAAGCGGGGCCGAGTTCGCCATACTGAGTGAACCACGCTTGGGGGTGGCCGGAATAGGGGTTGTGTGTGTGACCGCCTTGCCTGAAGGGTACTGCAGGGAGGGAGAAAAGGAGAGAGCGAGCGACAGAAGAGGAGCAGAAGGGAAAGATCATGGGCAGAAAGAAACGTGCATGAATGGCAAGGACTATTAACTGTTAATATATTTTCGTTAATTCCTTTGAACAAAAGAGATTAAGATATCAGTGAAGGAACCAATTACACTGCACTCTGTCGTTAACGAATCCGAACGTTCAAACGAAGCACCACTCACCAAAGGGAATGCCGCCGCAGGACGGCCTAGGGACGTCTTTATTGATTGTGTAGTCGACTTGCAACATATGCTTCGCGTCCGTTAGATGGTTCTCCCACCGAATCTGCCGCACACAGTTTTTAGAACAAAGCAGAGTGTCAGGAGATCTTCAGACATAGTAATAGCAGAGCTCTAGACTTGCAACATGTGCTTCTCGTAGATGGTTTTCCCACCGAATCTGCCACGCTCATTTCAGCCGGTGGCATTCTCAGGTACGGACTATAACTCTTCATATATTTTCGTTAATTCCTTCTTACAAGGAACGTCAAAGTCAGTAATCTGCACAATGTGACCCTCATCCCATCTCGCACCTTAGTCATAACGCCTTTCCTCGCCACTATAGTCGGCCCCGGATACGACGCGCGCGCGCGGCTCGTTCCAAACGCGTACAGCTTCGTGGGCGGCAGATCTCGATGGAACTTTTGTCGAATCTGATACACTCCGATCCACAGGATCTTCCCGTTCGTGCCGTCCACGAGCTCCATCCTGCCGCCCGTCGCGCCGGCTTTGCCGCCCGAGCCCGTCCCAGCCTTGCCGGCCGTGCCGGCCGCGCGAAGGCTGTCGACGAACTTGCAGAGCGGGCGGGAGGGGAAGCGGTTGATGCATCGCGGTCCCGCTGTTGGGGTGCCTCCGGTTACTTGGTTACCAGACTTCGTCGACCCGGATTTCGACGTCCCAGATTTTGACGGTTCAGATTTTGACGGTCCGGATTTTGACGAATCGGCGGACTTAGGCGGGTTGGAAAGGAGGTCTGGCGTGCCATTATAGATGGGCCCGGGCTTGGAATTTCCCCTGTGTTTGGGTATCAATGGGGCAGTAGCGGCGGCTGTCAGGGGGAGATGGGAGTGAAAGGAGAGAAGGATGGGTGGAGAGGATGGGGAGAAGGGATGAGGCAGAAAAACAGGGGGCGGGTGAGCTGGCCGGGCGTGCTTGGAAGCACCCCTGGAAACGTCTTTCCCACTGAGGTGCCAAAAAAAAACAAAAACAGGAGCCACCGTGCGACTTGTGCGCGACTTCGCTGCTGCAAGGATGGTTCGAACCGACTGAAACAGCACCCGTAGGGCGATACAGTACGGGCGCCTTACTTCCTTCCGCCTACCTGTTTCAACGTCGCCCTGCCCGCGTGCGGCGCTGATGAGGAGCACGCATGTGCATAGCGCGACTCGAACGAAAAGTCTATCTGCCGCCATTGGTGCGTCTAGCCGGAAACGCTTTCAGTCAGTAAGATACCGTGTTTTGAGTAACTCAAAACACTGCTCAGTCAGTAAGATACGGGGAAACACCACAATGGGGTAATGCTTATAAAAAGTACCCAGTTCATCTATGGTATGTACAATAAAAGGTCTTCTATCAACTCGGGTCGCGATCGCAATAAAATTGGTTCTAAGCCGGCCTGCCGATTGAATCTTGGCTACTTAGGAGTCGTCCACTCGTCAAGCAAATGCTGTCCTTCCGTCCCAGTCGCGTCTAGTGAAAAGCGCGCGATACACAGCACAGCCACGGCATAAGCGCGTGCAAGTGATGACGTGGCGCGTGGTGCAAAAAGGGCCCCTGGCTCGCTCGATGCTTTTCGGCAAAAGGGCTGCTGTCACCATTTTAGTCATGATTCGAGATATCAAACAAGGGTGCTTGCGACGTGCCATGTGTGAGGGGAGAGATTCGGGCGGCTTGGGGGGAATTTGAAATGTGACCAGAAATTCAAAAGAATTCCCGCCAGACTCGACATTCAAACCGAATGCGGTCCGCTGACGCGATACGTGCGTAACTATTTTGATAACAGGAAAGAAACACTTACGAAAGCAGCAATAGCCGTTATCTACATCCCATCTTGATTCTTGAACTGAGCATTTGAAGCATGAAGAATAACCCATACTCCATACGCATGGTCTGGAGAGTGGAAGCTCCTCCGAAATTGTTATACATCATGTGCAGAGCTCTCCCAAAGCTGCTTTTATTGCGAGGCTTGTTGCGCTTTAAGCACGGCACCACGGAGCACGGCAATCGCAGCAGCCGGGTCGGAAGCGCCAAACACGGAGCTTCCAGCAACAATGCAATTGGCCCCTGCTTCTGCTGCTTGAGCAATCGTCGACGGACCCAACCCACCATCCACCTGCACAAGGGAACAGATAAATAGGAGGCATACCTCTCTTTCACCCACACTGCCTTAAGTAAAAAATAGACCACAGCAATTGCAACATCGGGATCATCGCAGGCATATGCATTTATGTGTAAGCACAGTCAAAAATCCTCTTCTCACCTCAATATCCAGGTCTGGGAATCGTGACCGCAGGAACTGCACCTTGGGCATCATGTCAGGCATAAACGCCTGCCCTCCAAACCCTGGCTCTACTGTCATCACCAGCACCACATCCACTGCCTCCTGCCCCTCCAACTGCGGTTAAGAGTGACAATTCGGGTGGTCATGGAGGGTAGGAATCATAACAGTAGTCATAACTGAAACGCCTGCCCTCCGAACCCTGGCTCTACTGTCATCACCAGCACCACATCCACCGCCTCCTGCCCCTCCAACTGTTATGAGGGGTGATTATGAGGGGTGATGATGGGAGAATGGTTAGGGAGGGAGAAGTGGGGGAAAAGAGAGAAGCCTAATCTGAATCCCGTCTCCACAGTAATAATCATCACTACCCCAAAATTCACTACCTCCAACAATGTACGAGTGATCGGAAAAACGAAAGCGTACAATAGGCGGAATTCGGGGCGTGCCAGCCAAGGAACGTACAAGGGACAGGACCGCTTCGACAGGCGTGGAGGGTTTGATGGCCACCCCCCCGCTCATGCCACCCCCCCGCTCATGCCACCCCCCCGCTCATGCCTGCTGCATGCACCACTTGAGTCGACTCACAGGCAGTCTTCAGCACACATCACGCAACGCACGAGGAACGGCGTGTGGAGGAGAGGCAACGCACGAGGAACGGCGTGTGGAGGAGAGGCAACGCACGAGGAACGGCGTGTGGAGGAGAGGCAACGCACGAGGAACGGCGTGTGGAGGAGAGGCAACGCACGAGGAACGGCGTGTGGAGGAGAGGCAACGCACGAGGAACGGCGTGTGGAGGAGAGGCAACGCACGAGGAACGGCGTGTGGAGGAGAGGCAACGTACGAGGGGCAGGACTGATTCGACAGGCGTTGAGGGCTTGATGGCCACCCCCGCCCTCATGCCCGCTGCATGCACCTCCCTCACTAGCTGCTGCGCCCTGCCTGTGGTAGGAGCGCGGAGAGGGAGAGAAGAGAGAGGGAAGGACAGACTAGACAGTCATGGAAGGCTTAATAGCTACGCCACCCCCGCCCTCATGCCCTCATGCCCGCTGCATGCACCTTCACCCCCATCTGCTGCGCCTTGCCTGGTAGAGAAGGGAAAGGGAAGGGGGAGGGGGAAGGGGAACAGGGTTTCGAGGGGATGTGAGAAAAGGGAAAGGAGAATTCATAGCATAAGAGGGAAAAGAGACATGCGACACTTATGCCTGTGAGCCTATGCCCTCGTATGGCCGAATCCAAACCTGACACGTGGCATGCTGACCTGGCACAGCTTCCACGTGGAAGGTGAAGGAGGAAGCCCCAGCCTGCTTCATTGGCTCCACGTAGGCGAATGGGTCCGTGACCATGAGGTGGCAGTCCAGGTATGCACTGCACCATCAGTAACCATCAAAACAAGGCAATTAGGGGGAAGGAGAGGGAGGAATGAAGAGAGGGGTGGGATGTAGAGGCCCCAGCTTGATTGGTTTGCTGCACGTAGGCGAATGGGTCTGTCACTATGAAGTGGTAGTCCACGTATGCACTGCACCATCACAAAAAAATGAAGGGAGAAAGTCGAGATATGGGAGGGGTGTGGAGGCCGCAGCTTGTATTGCTGGGAACACACCACGTACGCAGATGGGCGTGTGAACCATGAGATGGCATGGCAGCCACTCTCACAAAGGAATGAAACGATAAAGGGGGGGCGGAGTGCGGGGTGGGGAAGAGAGGGAGGGGTTTGGAGGTCCCAGCATAACGGGTTGCATGCAGATGAACAGGGAGGGGTGTTGCATGGGGATGCAGGCTATTACGGGGTGACTCTTACTCGGTGTGTTTTCGAAGAGCAGCGATTACTGGAGGGCCGATGGTGAGATTGGGCACGAAGTTGCTGGGAAGGTGGCGGGTAAAAAGGGGGGGAGGATGGAGTGGGGGAGAAGGTGGAAGGAGGAGAGGGTAGAGATGTGGAGGGTAATTATGGGAAGAAGGTGGAGGTGAGAGAAAGGGTGTCGAAAGGGGAGAGTTATGGAGACGATAAAAATCGAGAGTTGGAAGAGGTCGAACGGGGAAAGAGTTGAGGGGGCGAGAGGTCGAGGGGGTGAGAGGTCGAAGAGTTAGAAGGGTGAAGTGAAGAGGCCGAGGGGGGGAGGGGTAGAGGAGGAAAGAAGGTCGACGAGGCAGACAACGCAAAATCGAGAAAAATTGAGGGAAGTATGAGAATGACAAGAGGGGCAGGGGAGAAAGGACGAGGTCACAGATTGATGAGAGGGATCAGAGGCGAGGATAAGGGAGGAGAGGTGAGGCGAGGATGGAAACGGAGGGCGAGTAACATATGGAGGGAGCGAAGCATGAGTAAGAGAAAGGAATGCGTGCTTGCACGAAGCAATTTGACAGCGATCTGAGCCTCAAGGGAGATGCGCTTGCAGCGATGCGTGCTGGTAAGGTATGCGTGCTGGTAAGGTATGCTGGCTGGTAAGGTATGCTTGCTGGTAAGGTATGCGTGCTTGTCGTGAGACAGAAGTGGGTGCTTCTGCAATGCCGTGTGGGTGCTTCTGTTGAACCAAATGCCGTGTGTATGGAACCCTACCCGTCCTGCAATGATGACAGAAGCACGCATGCGATGACAGAAACACATGCCATGGGGGAAACAAGTACGCCATGGGGGAAAAAATCAAGCACAAACACGCATGCAGGCGCACACAAGCACACACAGCGTTGACCGCGTTGACCGCGTTGATGGCGGAACATTTAGCAAGGCAGGGAGAAGAGAGTGGACGGCAGGAGAGAGACAGTGAGGAGTGACAGAGGGTGAACGTGAGGGACCGGAAAGACCGAGTGATACCGAACCTAATCATGCGAATCGACTCAAAAGCGACACCACACGATCCATCGAGCGGTTGATCAAAGCTCAGGCTCTGTCTCTGCCTGAAATACGAATTAAATACAAGTACGGAATTACCATGATATCCATGTGCAACCAATCAGCGCCGCACGAGAGCATTCGCTGCGCCTCGCTCGCGAGATTCGCGAAGTCTGACGAAAGCATGGACGGCGCTATCTTCGGCGAAGGCGCCATATCGCGCGTCCGTTTCTAGTATCTATTAATATCGCGAGGCGCGTGGGTACACACCTTTCTACTGCCCGAAGTTCGCGAGGCGCCTAGGAACGAGCCTCCCAGATAGGTCTCTCGTGCAGGATAACGGTTGCGGTAAGGAGCGGCCGTCGTAGTTTCAGTAACATGCAAGATTGGGCACTAAGAACTAATCTGGACGACACAGAATTCACTTAGTGCTTCAGCAAGACGCTTTGCTCTTTATGGCTTCGACGGCAATATCGAAAACGGTCAAGTACGGTTGTAGAAAAGCCATGCCGTAAATAACGTAATTCTTCTAGAAAAGCAATGCCATAATTAATGTAACGCTTCTAAATTGTCAAAAAAACGAATACCGTACACTTTCAGCAATCCGTTGTACAAATGTAAGCTTCCAAAACTAGCAAATAAGTGGTTCTATATCCAACATTCAGTTACGGTACGCTGAGTTACAACAGCAAGAAACCCAAACCGAATAGACCAATCCAAGCAGCAGTAACCACATTCCGCACAGCCGAATAAGCACCACCCTTAGGTGGGGGAGGTGCAGAGGGGGGCGTGCTGGTTGTGCTGCCACCAGTAGAAGCACAAGAGGGGGGAATGGAAGCAGCAGCATCGCATGGGCTGGTACTGGCGAGGGCTGGTTCTGCAAAGCACGAGGTCTGCAAGAGGGAGGGAGGGAGGGAAGTGGGGTAATGGAAGGAGATGGAGGGGTAGTGAAGGGGGGGGTGTGCTGGTTGTGCTGCCGCCAGCAGATGCACTAGTGGGTGGAATGGAAGCAGCAGCGTCGCATGGGCTTGTGCTGGCGAGGGCTGGTTCTGCAAAGCACGAGGTCTGAGGGAGGGAGAGAGAGGTGGAAGGGAGGAGGAGGAGGGAAGTGGAGGAAGGAGTGGGGAGAAAGAAAAGGAGGGCAAAGGAAGGATGGGAGAGGAAGGGGAAGGAGGGGGGATCAGGGATACGAGGGAAAAAGGAGGAAAAAGTGGAATGGTGAAACTTTAGCAAAACAGGAGGAATAGAGGGGGAGGCAAGATTGCATTGAAAGTGACTCGTCCCACCCACACTGCTGCTCACACTCCCACTCATCCCACTCACACTCCCACTCATCCCACTCACACTCCCACTCATCCCACTCACGCTGTTGCTGACAGTGACGTTGAGGTTCGGCACACCAGCCAGCTTGATAGTGTTCACAATAACCGTATCAATGAACGTCTGTGCGTCTGCTATCAGGTCGCTCAGTACATACGAGCCCACTGCAGGGAAGGGGCGGCAAGGGAAGGGCCAAGTAAAGAGTGGTGAAGAGCGGTGACGGGCGGTGAGAGGCGGTGCACGAGGGAAGGTTGGTCTAAACAGTGTCTGATAGTGTTCACAATAACCGTGTCGATGAACGTCTGTGCGTCTGCTATCAGGTCGCTCAGTACATACGAGCCCACTGCAGGGAAAAGCAAGCAGGAAAGACAGGGGAGTTGCGTGGTGAAGAGCGGTGAAGTGTGCAAGGCACGCAGGACAGGGAAGGCAGTGAATTCAGGGGAGGTGCACGGTGAAGAGCGGTGAAGGGCGGTGAGCGAGGGAAGGTCGTTCAAGACAGTGTCTGACAGTGATCGCAAGAAGAGGATGTATCAAATTGGCAAGATGAGGTTTGACAATGGTCAGAAGGGGAGGCACGGAGAAGAAAAGAGGAGGTAGCAAGTTAGTAAGAGGAGGTAGCAAGTTAGTAAGAGGAGGTAGCAAGTTAGTAAGAGGAGGTAGCAAGTTAGTAAGAGGAGGTATCAAGTTAGTAAGAGGAGGTAGCAAGTTAGTAAGAGGAGGTAGCAAGTTAGTAAGAGGAGGTATCAAGTTAGTAAGAGGAGGTACGAGGACGGTCAGAGGAGGTACGAGGACGGTCAGAGGAGCCAGACAAAACGGAGCCATGCAACAGAAAGAGGAGCAATGGGGGGAAGTGGCACCAAGACGGGGAGAGAAGCCCTTGCACTCACGTTTGAGGTTGCTTGTTTCTCACGATTCATGCTCTTGCAGGCACTGAAGATGCGGTTTGCGAAATTCAGTGTATTTAGACGTTTTTTTTAGGCGCCTAAAAAAAAGGGAGAACCCAGGTGTGTTTCGAGTCGACTCAAAACACGGTGGGGAGGGGAGCTTTGAGGTTGCTTGTCACTCACACTTGATGCCCTTGCATGCACTGAAGATGCGATCAGAAAAATCCAGGTGTGTTTTCTGTCAACTTTGTCTCAAAACATGATAGGGAGAGGGGGAAGTATGAGGTTGCTTGTCACTCACGTTTGATGCCCTTGCAGGCACTGAAGATGCGGTCGGCGAATTTCGGGCAGATTAGCATGACTGAAGTGCCTTGCGAATTTTTGGTGCTGTTCACGTAGTTGCCCGAATCTGCCACGTCGGAAACACCAAGGGAAGTGGATAAGAAGGGGTACGTGAGTGGGCGGGCCAGCTTGGATTGTAACAGAGCTGGCCTCTTGCTGGAAAGTCTCTCTATCAAAAGCAGACTTGCGTTTCGCTGCGTTGCGCGCGCCATTCAAGTTTAGAATGTGAGAATAGTGTGGTCAGTGCCAAGAGCCAATGAAAGCCAGTGAGGATAATGCCGAGTATTTGAACATAGCATGTGTTTTCCACAAAAAAGGGATACCGTCTAAGAATGACTTCAAACATCTAATTGTAACGAAAACGTGTTGACGCGATGCGATTGTTACAACAAAATGTAGACGTGAGCGTTACCACTCACCGGGGTTGCAGTTGGCACCACACACAATCGCCTCAACGAGAAACGGGCACTCCGGTTGGCCGACGAACAAGTCGCACACCTGTTACAATCACACACCGGGAGTAGGGGGAGGGGAGGTTAGGGGCAAGGAGAGCACAGGACACGGGGAAGCGAAGGGAACAGAGGGGCACGGGGTAGCCGCACGGGGAACAGCGCAGTGGGCCTGACAATAAGAATAAGCGAAAGCACGTAATGCAGCGGCTGAACGGAGGTAGGTGAGCACGTGGGTGTTGGGCGAATTTTCACAACCTGCGCCGCGGTCATTTTAAAAAGAGGGAGCACGTTGCGTCGTTTGATGGGTGGTGTGTGTGGGGGGGGGGAGGGGGGGGGGGGGGGGGGGGGGTGTGCGTGGGGTCGTATCGACGGGTCCGTTTCTGCGCGCTACGCGCGTCCGCGCACCGCGCAGCACCTGGGACACCTCGATCAACGAAGACAACGGCGCAAACGAGGTCAACGCGGTCAACGAGAAGGTCAACGGGGGTCGTACCTTAACGTTCGGCTCGACGAGGGTTCCGAGTGAGGGGCTGATTTCCGTGAGCACGGCGGAAAGGTTTGCGCCCGTCATCATTTGCGCGGCCGACACGTCCGCGCACTCCGCGCAACACGACGCGGTCGCCGCCACGGGGCAGCGGAACATTGGAGTCTTCCGCGCAATCGGCGCCTGCTTCGTCACCGGGCACACCTTCGCAGCCGCACCGCTAGGGGAGGCCGGCGCCGCGGGTGAAGTCGCGGCGGCGGAACAAGTTACCAGTGTAACGAGGAGATGAGAGGACAGCACGACCGCTACGAGCAGCGCGCGCCGCGGGAACAGCAGCGCCATGATGCTGATAGCACGCGGCGAAGAACCGACGACACGCGGCAGGTCCGTTCACGGCTGCACAAGGTGCGTGCTTCTGGCGCTGGCGTCAAGTCTGAGAGTACTACGGTTCGCCGCGATGACCGCAACCAAGTCCGGGCCAGAAATGCTATCGCTTCCGATCAGCGACCAAGTCCGGGTCAGAAATGCTATCGATGAGCAGCAACGTTCCGTGATGCGGTCAGCTCGGCGCTGGTCACGCGGGACGCGTTTTGGTCACGAACGCCGAAAGGCTGCCGCGGCAAAAATATCTTCAAACTCTGAAGGGTTGCAATACTGCGGCGGAACACTCCAGCAAAAATTATCCGCCACCAAAAGCCCTCCACAGTGATCCGATCAGAATAAAGACTATGGTACGCACAACCTGAACTTGTAGTTGCCAGTGACACAATTAGGGCGAAAACTGGACTGAATGTCTGGAACTGGGTGCATTTTTTAGGCGCCGCAAAACTGAGCCAGAAGCCTGGAACTAGGTGTTTGCAAGCGCGTGGATGACTACTGTACGTGCACGCTGCACCTGCAAGTGCATCGACGACGGTGGGGATTCGGCGACGAGGCGAGTAGGGTTACTGTACAGTCAAATCGGCGACACAATCTACAAACTTCAAATCGAAACGCGCCACCTGTACCCCCTCGTCGCGTTGATCAGGACCAACCACAAAAATCCTGATTCTCCAGCACCTCATTCAACGTGCTCGTCTTGTATGACTTCGATACTAGCAAGCTAAGCTCCAAAACATACTAGAGAAATAATCTACATAAATTAGCAAATCCCATACCAACAAATCACAGCTCTCTAAATAGTGTTTTTGCATATATGTATTGCTGTTTCACAACAGAAAAAGACCCACCACACTCAACAAGCAAGATAAGCTAATGGTAGCTGCATTAAATACTAATGAAATGGAGGATTTTTTTGGTACTTCTGCTATTGCGAGCATTGGGGCTGGGGGAGGTTGTCCAACGGGCTCTCCCGGTGATGGCAGAGCTGGTGATTGGCCGGCCGGAGTGGAAGGCACAGGTGGCGCCGATGCCCCAGACACAGAAGTGGGCGGAGGGGGAGGAGGAGAAGGAAGAGGAGGAAGGGGGGGAGGGGTCTTGCACACAGAATGATCGATATCACGGCCAATCAGATCGCTGTATTGTGTCGCGTTTACAGCACCAGCAGGGCAGTTCAGGGGAATGGCGAACGGGTCACAGCATGCGGTTACCGGAGCGAACACCTGAGAACCACTGAAGCATGCCTCCTGCAGGAGGGGAACATGACAGCAGTTGGATGAAAGAAATTGTCCAAAACTTTTAGAGATCTAAAGTAATCAAGAAGGGGATGGCTGGTGGATGGAATAAGGAGTATATGAGGAATGGAATATAGTAGTGTTACTGGAAGTACACGAAGAGAAAGAGGAGATAAGTTGTTATCAAGATTGAGTGGTCACTGAGGGATGTGCGTGTGCACGCACAATACGCTTAAATGAAAATGCAGCACTGTACCTTCTGTACAACGATGTTGAAGTTACTGTAGCCAATGGCCTTCATTACACTGGCAGCGATGGCAGTGAGGAAAGACTCGGAGGAGGTGATGAGTGTGCTCAGGGGGACGGCTCCGACTGCCAAGTGTACGCAGGGGGGGTGCAGGCGGGGAGATACGCAGTGGTACGCATGAGGATTGGCAAGAGTGCAGCGATGGCATTGAGGAAAGACTCGGAGGAGGTGATGAGTGTGCTCAGGGGGACGGCTCCGACTGCCAAGTGTACGCAGGGGGGGTGCAGGCGGGGAGATACGCAGTGGTACGCATGAGGATTGGCAGGAGTGCAGCGATGGCATTGAGGAAAGACTCGGAGGAGGTGATGAGTGTGCTCAGGGGGACGGCTCCGACTGCAAGCAGGGGATGGAGGGGAGGAGGGGGGAGGGGGGTTGAGAAGGGGTGTACGTGGTTAGTGGTGACAGCTGAGTGAGGAAAGACTTGGAAGAGGTGATGAGAGTGCTCAGGGGGACGGCTCCAACTGCAACGCCAACAGGGGGGAGGTGGGAGAGGGGGGCGGGGGGTGGTCAATGGTGACAAGTTCTCATTGATAAGAGTGCAATGATGGCAGTGAGGAAAGACTAGGAGGTGGTGATGAGTGTGCTCAGGGGGGCGGCTCCAACTGCAATGCCAAAAGGGGGAGGAGGGGAGGGTAGAAGTGGTGGGAGAGCAAAGAGAGGGAGGGGGGGCTATGAGGTGAGTGGTACTACTTAAGGGTTGAGGAGAGAGGCTCTGAGGAGGTGATTTTGAGGCGTTAAAAGTTGAGGAGGCGCCTCAGACAACGATTTTTTAGACGTATCAAAAGACCATTTTTGAGGCACCTCAAAAGTTGATGGTTGACGAGGGGCTTCGACGTGGTGATAGGGAGCATTCCATCTCATCAAGGTTGAAATTCGTTGGGTTCGACACATTAGGCCTGGATGTCGCGTGTGAACGCGTTTCGGCCAGCAATGGCCTTCAACGCGTGTGGACGTGGTGATTGGGAGCATTCCATCTCATGAAGCCTGTAGAAGCGTGTCTGTTTGTGGCGATCTGACTTTTGAGTCGACTCAAAAGTCACCTTGATTGGGAGCATTCCATATCATCAAGCCTGTAGAAGCGTGTCTGTTTGTGGCGATCGCCACAATGTATGTTTTTTTAGAATTCTCAAAAAACACGATGGTTGACGAGGGGCTTCGGCGTGGTGATAGGGAGCATTCCATCTCTTCAAGCCTGTAGAAGCGTGCCTGTTCGTGGCGATCGCCACAAGCCAGTGCGGTTGGCGATCTCTGTACAACCAACCGCACTGCACTCGACAAAGCCTGCAACCAACCGCACTGCACTCGGCTGGAAATGCCCTGGCAGACGCCAAAAAAGGAATTCAGCATAGGAAGCACCCAACTGGACTTCCTTCGACTGCACTGCACTCAACCGCACTGCACTCAACTGGAAATGCCTTGGCAGACGCCAAAGAAAAATTCGGCGTAGGAAGCACAGACAGACATTGTTGTGGCGTCGGCTGTTACCCGGGTGTAGTTACCCGCATCTGCACATTGGAGAAACATACATTCGATGCAGTCACATAAAATGGTAGAAGCACATTTTTTATGTAGTCACATAAAGAAGGAAATGACACACGGCTAGATTTCGCATCACATAGACTGTACAGCCAGTGGGAGCGGCAGGCTGGCAGCCCGTCCTTTTAGTTACATGTCATAATGCACCTTCTCAAATGGGTTACATTTCATTCATGTACCATACCATCTCACGTGGGTCACATGTCATCTACCATCTCGATTCTCACCTGGGTTACATGTGACGGCGCACAGCAGATCCTCTATGGCTTGCTCGCACATCTGCCCGCCTGTGAACATGTCACACATCTGGAGGGGAGAAACGGAGATGCAATCGCACACGGAATGTGATACGATAAGATAAGATATGATGCACATCTGACCGCCTGTGAACATGTCACACGTTTGGAGGATACAAGGTGGTTAAAGCCAAGCATGTGAGAGGCCGTCATGATCATCAGTCATACTTGAAAGAACCGCACCGGCCCATGGGCTTTAAAGCCACACAAGCTTCAGACGCCAACACACCTTGGAAAAGCCCGCACCTCAAGGCCCAAGTCCGAAAAGGTCACCAGATGGAAAAGCACGCACCTTAAAGCCCGAGTCTACGAATCCAACCAGGCTCGGATCAATCAGCACCACAACATCCTCTAGGTTCGTCCCCACGAGCCTTAACGCCGAACCTAAGTCGCTGCAGTCGCCGCAGCACGTCTTATTTGCAGCAGCAGGGCAGCGAGTCGAAACCCTCTTAGGGATTGTCGGGGGCTCTTTAGTGAATGGGCATGCAGGGTAGACGACAGGTCCGGGAGGGGGCGGCGCAGGCTCGGGCGAGAGGCCCGGGGAAGGCTCGGAGGACGGGGCAGGTTCGGGAGGTTGGGAGATTGGGGGGAGAGTGCCTAGCATGCACGCGTCTGGGTCGGTGACTCGGGTGAGAGAGGGGAGAGAGGAGGAGGTGGTGGAGAGAGGGGAGAGGGAGGAGGAGTAAGAGGAGTTGATGGAGTTGGGAGGGCATGTGGGGGGGATGGTGAGCGGGTCGCAGCAGGCAGTGTAGCGGGGATAGAGACCCGTGCCGTTGAAACAAGATTCCTGAAACAAGGGGGAGTAAAAAAACCGAACAAGAGGGGACACGCATGGAACGAACAAGGGACAAATAGAGGTTTCTTGAGGTGAGCGGGTCGCAGCAGGCAGTGTAGCGGGGAAAGAGGCATGTGCCGTTGAAACAAGATCCTTGCAAGGAGTGCAGAAGGGGGAAGAGAAAAGGAGGTGGGTGGGGAGAGCTTGGAAACACGAGCAGCAGGCAGTGTAGCGGGCGGGGGCAGAGACGCGTGACATTGAAACAAGAACCGTGCAAGAGACAAGGGGGGTTACAGTATGGGGAGACCAACCAGAACAAGAGAGAACAGGGCTTCGTTGGGAGCAGGGAGTGGTGAGGAGGAGATCGGGGGGGGGAGAGAGATCGGGGCTTTGTTTGTGAGGAAAGATTGGGGGGGAGAGAGAGAGCAGGCAAGGTGCTGCCATGAGGGCTGCCACGCTCGTTGCCAGTATGCCCATGAAGGAGGAGTGCAGTGGGGGAGGACTACTCTACAGGGAGAGTGGAGAGTGCATACTTACAGTTACGTGTAAAAAATGTATTTTTGAGACGTCTCAGAAGTACACTTTTTACACGTGGCTGTACAGGGAGAGTGGAGAGTGCATGATTACAGTTCTGAGGCACGAGGAGAGAGTGGAGAGGGCAAGCAGAAGGGCGCACTCACTGCGAGCAGAGAGCGGGACACTCACACGGTGATAGTTAAGTCAGCCGTGCCCATGAGCGCTGCCACGCTCGCTGCCACGCTCGCTGCCACGCTCGCTGTCAGTATGCCCATGAAGGAGGAGAGGAGGGGTCCTGGACCAGTCACCCCATGGAAGCCCTCATACGAACCACTGCGACTTCTGAGACCTCCACGGAGTAACAATGTGTAGAGAGCAAACTTACGGTGTTGTCCACGGTGATTGTCACATCAGCCGCGCCCATGAGTGCTGCCACACTCGCTGCCACTACGCCCATGAAGGAAGAGTGGTGTGAGTGGGGCATACTCTACAGGGGGGGTCTAGAAGGGCCGCACTCACAGTGTTGCCCACGGTGATGGTGATATCAGCCGCGCCCATGAGTGCTGCCACGCTCGCTGCCACTACGCCCATGAAGGAAGAGTGGTGTGAGTGGGGCATACTCTACAGGGGGGGTCTAGAAGGGCCGCACTCACAGTGTTGTCCACGGTGATTGTCACATCAGCCGCGCCCATGAGTGCTGCCACGCTCGCTGCCACTATGCTCATGAAGGAGGATGGGAAGGGTCCTGGACCAGTCACCCGGTGGGAGCCCTCATACCAACCACTGCGACTTCTGAGACCTCCACGGAGTAACTATGTGTAGAGAGCAAACTTACGGTGTTGTCCACGGTGACTGTCACATCAGCCGCGCCCATGAGTGCTGCCACACTCGCTGCCACTATGCTCATGAAGGAGGATGGGAAGGGTCCTGGACCAGTCACCCGGTGGGAGCCCTCATACCAACCACTGCGACTTCTGAGACCTCCACGGAGTAACAATGTGTAGAGAGCAAACTTACGGTGTTCTCCACGGTGATTGTCACATCAGCCGCGCCCATGAGTGCTGCCACGCTCGCTGCCACTACGCCCATGAAGGAAGAGTGGTGTGAGTGGGGCATACTCTACAGGGGGGGTCTAGAAGGGCCGCACTCACAGTGTTGCCCACGGTGATGGTGATATCAGCCGCGCCCATGAGTGCTGCCACACTCGCTGCCACTACGCCCATGAAGGAAGAGTGGTGTGAGTGGGGCATACTCTACAGGGGGGGTCTAGAAGGGCCGCACTCACAGTGTTGCCCACGGTGATGGTGATATCAGCCGCGCCCATGAGTGCTGCCACGCTCGCTGCCACTACGCCCATGAAGGAAGAGTGGTGTGAGTGGGGCATACTCTACAGGGGGGGTCTAGAAGGGCCGCACTCACAGTGTTGCCCACGGTGATGGTGATATCAGCCGCGCCCATGAGTGCTGCCACACTCGCTGCCACGACGCCCATGAAGGAAGAGTGGTGTGAGTGGGGCATACTCTACAGGGGGGGTCTAGAAGGGCCGCACTCACAGTGTTGCCCACGGTGATGGTGATATCAGCCGCGCCCATGAGTGCTGCCACGCTCGCTGCCACTACGCCCATGAAGGAAGAGTGGTGTGAGTGGGGCATACTCTACAGGGGGGGTCTAGAAGGGCCGCACTCACAGTGTTGCCCACGGTGATGGTGATATCAGCCGCGCCCATGAGTGCTGCCACGCTCGCTGCCACTACGCCCATTGAAGGAGGATGGGAAGGGTCCTGGACCAGTCGCCCCGTGGGAGCCCTCATACCTACCAAAAGACACTCACTGCGACTTCTGAGAGCTCTACTGAGTAACGAGTGTAGAGAGCAAGACACTCACCGTGTTGTCCACGGTAATGGTGACGTCAGCCGCGCCCATGAGTGCTGTCACGCTCGCTGCCACGATGGTCATGAAGGACGATGGGAAGGGTCCTGGACCAGTCACCCGGTGGGAGCCCTCATACGAACCACTGCGACTTCTGAGACCTCCACGGAGTAACAATGTGTAGAGAGCAAACTTACGGTGTTGTCCACGGTGATTGTCACATCAGCCGCGCCCATGAGTGCTGCCACACTCGCTGCCACGATGGTCATGAAGGACGATGGGAAGGGTCCTGGACCAGTCACCCCATGGGAGCCCTCATACGAACCACTGCGACTTCTGAGACCTCCACTGAGTAACAATGTGTAGAGAGCAAACTTACGGTGTTGTCCACGGTGATTGTCACATCAGCCGCGCCCATGAGTGCTGCCACGCTCGCTGCCACTACGCCCATGAAGGAGGATGGGAAGGGTCCTGAACCAGTCACCCCGTGGGAATCCTACCAACCACTGCAATGAGTGTAGAGGGCGCACTCACTGTATTGTCGACGGTTATGGTGATATCAGCCGCGCCCATGAGTGCCGTCACGCTCGCCGCCACTATGCTCATGAAGGACGATGGGTCCGGTGCTACTCGGCTCAGAGGTACCTCTCCCACTGGCAGGAGAAGGAAGGGAGATGGAAGGAGAAGGGGAAGGAAGGACAGGGGAACCGGACGGGAAATTAGGGAAGGGAAAGGGGAATCGAAACAGAAGAGGTAAGGCATGGCAGGGGGGATGACATGGATGAAAGTCAAGAGAGCCACTCACAGTCAATGCCCTGGCAGCCTTCCATCACTGCCTGTGCAAACGCCTCACACACGCTGATCACCGTGCCTGCTGCCATGGCGCTCACATACGCGCTCGCATCTGCTCATGTGCGCACAGGGAGGCAGTGGTGTGGTGGAGGGGAGGGGACTTTTGAGTCGATTCATAGTCACCTCACACACGCTGATCACCGTGCCTGCAGCAGTGACGCTCACATACGCGCTCGCATCTGCTCATCATGGCACAGCAAGGCAAAGGTAGTGGTGTGAAAGTGACAGGGTGAAATCAACGGATGGTTCAGGATGGGTTGCACGGCACCTGGTTACCACCTGGGCTGCACGGCGCGTGGTTACCAACTGGGTTGCACGGCGCGTGGTTACCACCTGGGTTGCACGGCACCTGGTTACCACCTGGGTTGCACGGCACCTGGTTACCACCTGGGTTGCACGGCACCTGGTTACCACCTGGGTTGCACGGCGCCTGGTTACCACCTGGGTTGTACGGCACCTGGTTATCACCTGGGTTGCACGTGACTTAATTACCACATGCATCCCACCTCCTTCATACTTCCCCAATCACCTAGGTTGCACGTGAGCGCGCAGCTTAGATCCTCCAGCAGCTGCAGACAAACCTCTCCTCACCGACTCACACACCTTACCATGTACATACCACCACTCTGAACCCACCTGGGTTGCACGTGAGAGCGCAGGTAAGGTCCTCCAGCAGCTGCAGACACGTGGTCTGCCCGATAAACGCGTCGCACGCCTGGCGGACGAAGAGTGATGGGGGTTGAGAGGGGTGAGAATGGGTGAAAGGAGGTGAGGAGTTGAGAGGAAGCGGTGGAGATGGTGGGGATGATGGGGGATGCATGCAGTTGCACGCACTTGGACTGGCCGATGAACGCGTCGCACGCTTGGCGGTGCGGTGAGAGGGAGTAAGGCGGGGGGGGGAGGGAGGGTGAGGGGGGGAGTGAAGGGGGATGCGAGGTAAAGATTGCGATGCTAGAAGTCACGAACGACGCCAGGCTGACCAAACTTGGAGTGCTATGCGTCATGACGACCAAATGTACCAATGTAGATTATACTACAGTGTTTTGTTCTGGTGATATGTTTTTCTTCTGCATGAGAACCTCGGCCTTGGGTTGACGAAGCTCAGAGCCTCGGGACTGACGAGGACACCGGGTCGCCCAAACCTGGATGGCTAAGCGTCATGAACCAGCTACAGTAATGTACAGTGAAATTGCAGAGTATAGAAATTATGATTAAAAGATTAACGAACCTTGGCGTTGGGCTGCACGAAACTCAGAGCCTCGGGACAGACGAGCAGTTACAGTAATGTACAGTAAAATGTGAAAGATACAGCATTGATGATTAGAAAGTTGACGAACCTTAGCGTTGGGTTGCACGAAGCTCAGCGCTTCGGGACTGATGAGCGACACCAAGTCGCCCAAACTCGCACTGGCAAGGCCGAGCGCGGCGTTCAAATCCGCGCAAGCTCCGCAACATGATTGCGCGGAAGCCGCGGGGCACCGCGCGGGCGCATTGGCGTGCGCGGACGGCGCAAGGCCAGTGCACGGACACGCTTGGGAGAGCGCTGGCGGAAGCAGGGAAGCGGAGGGCTTGGCTAGGGCGGAAAGTTGAGGGAGTTGAATTACGACGAGGAAGGAAATAAGTAGTGCGGCTCGAGAAAAAACTGAGGCTCGGATTAGAGTGTCGCCGGAGACTAGTCGTAGTGCGACGCACGAGAAAAGTTGTCGCGGATGCATCTTGGGGATGAAGGCTGCAGTCCAAGTAGCTCAAATATAAATACTTGATTATGTAGCTAAATTCGATTCGGTGCGAGCTCACGAGCTCCAACAGTAAGGACAAGGCTTTCGCCCCTCGATCAATTAAAATTCTCTATGCGACGAGTGCGAGTATCCGAGAGGGTCTTTGCTCACTGCCGTCCGTAGTCTCTTCAATAGATAAGGGCTGGGTGTTGGGAAAAATGTGCTGGGCTAGGAACACGATCGGCTCGCCATGTAGTGAAGGAACGAGTCAGAGAGTGAAGATAGAGGGCGGGTCCAGCGCGTACGTTTTCCGTACATTACAGTTCATCCAGTACGGTAATCTGTACTGCGTCACGGTTAAAAACGGTGCAATTTCAAAACCGTTGTGCACCGCCTGATATCTTCTCAAACCACGACGAATGAACTGTATAGTACCTGTAAACGTACGCGCTGGACCCCCCCTAAAAGAGGCAAAGAAAGTGAACTGCCTACACGGACATTCTTCACAAGCAACATGGAACGGAAACCCTAGAGATGATACGAAGTTCGTTTTTGCTGGTACCTCTACCCAAGCCGTTCTAAGACGCGCAACATCGTAACCAACCGCAATTACAAGCCCACTTTATATGTTTGACTTGACGGAGTGGTACGTTTGTCAGAAACCAGCAAAGCCCAGCGGTTCGTAAGTGCCTGGCGTTTCCGGTTCACACTGAGTGTTTAGGGAGTTTCGGCGACCATCCGAGCTACATCTAAATGCGGACCAGTGAGGCTGTCGAATCTCAACGAAAATTGACGGGACCCGCTGGCGGTGGACAGAATTTGGTTGTGCGGAGGGAGACCGAAATTCATCCCGAGCCGCATTTGCAGAGTGCAGAGAAGCTGGCTGACGCGACTCGCTGCAGTTCCCGCGATTCAAATTTTCTGGAGGCTTGATTGGTGAACATTGAACAAGTCATTGACCGGGCGACAGCTCCAGGCGGAAAGTGACTCGCTATACGCATAACAGCTCTGAACATCAACGTAACAATGATAGCAGTCAAGCCGTTGTTAAGACAAATCCGTATTCCCTGAAAACCAGAGACATATACGTGTTATTTTATGTTTCATAATTCAACATACATTAGAACCGCCTATATTTGGCGCTGGATTTCTGTTTCACTTATATAGTTATGGTTTGCAAACCCCCAAGAAGTGAACAGTTTGGAGGTGCTGTACACAGGATAGGACATGTCAGTAAATGCCCGTGCCAGAGCGGGTGCAGTACAGTGTCAGCCGGACTGTCACGCCATCGCTCGCAGCAGCCCTTTGACGTGGGAACGGCAGGCGAATCGCAATCACACCGACCACCCTCTATTCCCCAACCAGCGGCGGCGAACCACAGCTGCTGTTTTCCTGACAATAACGCTCACACACCAATCACATGCTAGAATCAACTGCAGTCCTAGGTCACTACACTACACCCGCTGCAACATTCTCGCTGTCTGTTACAGGATTCGTCAGCGGGTTCGGCAAACTGCAGAGGCGAAACGCTCAGCCCATCATGGAACGGAGGCGGCCGAGTCGCAGCAGATATTCCAAGCGCGTTGTCATGGCATTCCTGGCGCATTGGGTTCCAGGAGCAACAAGGAAAGTGCCAAAAGTCATCAGCCAAGCCAGATTCAGGGTGTGGAACTTCAGGTCCCTACACTGGCCGATGTTCAGTTTGCAATCGCAGTTGACAAACGATACTTTGTGACTCGCAGTTTTGACACAGGTGTGTCTCCCCGCTTATAAAAATCCATCTGAACACGCCTGCGACTGACACTAACAAGCCACACTGCCCACTCAGGCCGGCTAGCACTCAACATTTAGTGGACATTTAGTGGACATTTGTAGTACAAGGTAAACTCGCCCAAGCTCCAGCAACTGCGATTCCACCTCGTTGCTGCTCCTTGTGCCTGCCATTCTAGTGACACTGTCCTTTCTCTTCGCTCGTTTCGGGAACTAGAAGATCGGCTCGCGTAGCAGAAACGGAAAAAAGGTGGACTCATTGTAAGAACGAGATATCAGAAAACCCGTGCGAGTGCAGCGCGAACCGAAAGAGATCGACGCTCAAAATGGTCACCACGTGGCAACATCGTCCGCAATCAGCGCGCCACCGGCGCCACTCTGCTTCTCCACATGGCCCCGTGTTGCTGCTTCTCCCCTTCCTCCTCCTCTCCCTCACCTGCCTGGACGTGTCCTCCGCACAAACCGCGCCAACTCCTTCCGCCAGTCCCCCGTCCGCCAGTCCGTCTCCGCCTCCCCCCGCAACTCCGCCGTCCTGCCCGTTCACCGGGCTACAGCCGTCCGCTCCTTCCGTCTCACCTTCCCGTTGCCCGGCCGCGGCTAATCTTTCCTGCTGCCCGGCGTGTAGCGATCTGAATGGCGCGCTACAGCTGGCGTCGGCGAACATGAGCGCACTTGTAGCAGAGCTCAGCCCCGGCGCTACAGTCGACCCGAGCCTGGGCGTGTGCAAGGGGTTCGAGGGGCAGCAGCGGTGCCTGCAGCTGCTCGAGGACCTCAACTGCGCGTCGAGTTGCAACTCAGGTGGGTTAGATGGCATTTGTGAGCATCAGAACCGGGAAACAAAAATAAAGAAGTGGCGTGAAGTGGCAGTTTTACGAAGTCGCAGAGGTACGAGCGACCGAGGAGTAGTTTTGGAACATATATAACAATAGTTGTATTAATAAACTAATAACCACATTGTTTCCATTAAGTATCTTCCACCACTAAAAATATCCGTGCGTCGTCCTGCTGTGCAGATTCCGGTGCGTACATCAGCGGCACAAGCATGCGCGTGTGCTCCGCCTTCGCATCGACCCTCTTCGACGCGTGCAGTCCCGTGTGGAGTAAGTGTTGGTTGGTTTACGGCTTATGACCCACCATGAGATTACGAGAGAGGTTCTATATTTCCTTCGAAAAGCGCGCAGCGCCGTACGGAGTAAGTGTCAGTTGGCTTGTGATTATCGAGATGCGAGATAGTGTGAGAGATGTTACATATCTTTTGGAGAAGCATGCAGTCCCGTGTTCAGCGTTAGTTGGCATACGAGATGCGACATAATGTGAGGGATGTTTCAGGCTCCTTAGAAACAGCGTGCATTTTCGTGTGGAGTAAGTGTGATTCTTCCCGCAGTTTATCCTTCATCACACTCACACTCCCCTTCTCTCTCCGTCGTCCTTGCCCACTCTTCCCACTGTCGCCCCTGACTCTTGTCAGTGGACACTCTTCAGCTGTCGCAGCTTTACCCAGACGCTTCCTCCCTCCTCGCGTCCTTCGCCAGCAACGTGACGAAAATATTGGGATCTTTGGTTACCACATTCGCGATCGACGACTCGTCCGCTTGTTTCAACGGCACAGGCATCTACCCGCAATACACGGCGTGCTGCGATCCCTACTCCTCCCTCCCCTCCTGCCCTGTCACATCCCTCGACCCTTCGAAGTACCAATCGGTAGTTAATCGCACTATCGACTCCAATAGCTGCATGGGGATCGCTCCCCCGCCTCCTCCCCCAGCGCCCGCTCCCGCTCCCGCGTCACTCCCCTCCGCCCCGCCGTCGTCCCCCCCTCCCCCCGTTTCCTACCCCATCTGCCCCGTCACGGGTAACTACCCCTCCATTCCTGCGCTTTTTCCGCCTTCCCGCTGCCCGGCCGCGGCGAATCTTTCCTGCTGCCCGGCGTGTAGCGATCTGTACGGCGCGCTACAGCTGGCGTCGGCGAACATGAGCGCGCTTGTAGCGGAGCTCAGCCCCGGCGCTACAGTCGACCCGAGCCTGGGTGTGTGTAATGGCTTCGAGGGACAGCAGCGGTGCCTGCAGCTGCTGGAAGATCTCAACTGCGCGTCGTCGTGTAACCCAAGTGAGTGTGATGATAAATTGTTTACTGAGATTCAGAAAATCGAGACACACAGATGAGTATGCTGGTACACTGCTGGTTTGAGGGACAGCCGCGATGCCTGCGGTTCCTGGAAGATCTCATCTGTGCGTCGACTTGCAACCCAAGTGAGTGTGATAATACTTGGTTAAATAATACCTGGTCATATTGTACCTGGTCAAATGAGGTCATGAAAACGGCACACACAGGTGAGTGTGGGGATACATTGTTGGTTCGAAGGGCAGCAGCGGTGCCTGCAGCCACTGGAAGACCTCAACTGCGCGTCCACGTGTAACGCAAGTTGTCAGTTGAAACCTGGTCACATGAGATCAGAAAAACAGGATAAATGGTTAGATTGCTGGTTCGAGAGTCACGCGGACATATTGTTAAAATATGCACACTCACCTCTTTGTCCTCCCCCTTCCTCGTGTGGCTGTGTGATTGATTTGCAGACTCTGGCGCTTACATAAGTGGCACCACCATGCGCGTGTGCACTGCCTTTGCTGACGCCTTCTACACCGCGTGCAGCCCTGTGTGGAGTAAGTGCTATGTTCATGTAACCCGCATGCTGCAATAGTTTCCCCGTTTCATCCATCCCCTCTCAATCTAACCGTCCTTTCTGCATCATTCTTCATCAGCCAATCATCGCCTTCCTCGTTCTCCCACTACCCTCCTTCGCTCCCCTCTCCTTTGCCGTATTCCCTCCCCTTTTTCCAGTTAATATAATTTCCATCTCTGAGCTCTTCCCCAACGCCTCTTCTCTACTCACGTCTTTCGCTGGCAAAATGACCAAACTCATTGGATCAAGCATTACCAACCTCACCACCGACAATTCTCACCATTTCTTTCCTCATCTCCCCTTCTCTCCCATCTCCCACCTCCCCACTTCCCCCGCACTCGCCCTCCCCCACTCTCTCATTCTTCCCCCTCCAGTGAACAACGTCTCTCTCTCTGCGCTCTTCCCCAACGCCTCGTCCCTCCTCACATCCTTCGGAGGCAACATGACCAAACTCATGGGATCAAGCGTTACCAACTTAACTATTGACGAATCCAATTCCACCTCCTGTTTCAACGGCACTGGGGTGTACCCGACTTACACTGCTTGCTGCGACCCCCTCGCCGCCCCTTCCACCTGCCCTGCAACCGCTCTGAACCCCTCTAACTACCCTTCTGATCTGATCAACCGCACCATTGACTCCCAGTCCTGCATGGGCAGCCTCCTTCCGCCTCCCCCTCCTCCTGATGCCCCCCCTTCCGCCCCCGCCCCTTCCTCCTCCGCCCCCGGGTCCGCCCCAGCACCCGCCTCGTCCGCCACCCCGTTGCCCCCCCCAGTTACCACCTTCCCCAAGTGCCCCTTCACCAATAACAGCCCGTACCCGCCTGGCAGCGCCATGCCGCGCTGCCCTGCTGCGGCGAATCTCTCCTGCTGCACGGCCTGCCAGGACATTGATGGCGCGTTGAAGCTCGTCACTACGAAGCTGGAAGATGTGGTGAAACGAGTCGGCCCGGCGAATTCCGTGGATGCCAGTCTTACGGTAAGAACTCAAAGGAACTACCAATATACATATGCATTATATATATTTGTAGTCATATATTACACGAAGCGTTGGTGAGTAATATTGTTTTGTGTTTTCATGTGTGCACTCTCTACAGTGACCTTTCCCTTCGCGAAACCTGAGTTTGCCTGACTGTTTTCGCCTTTGTTTTCGTCTCCCTGGTTCGCTTCGCCACTTGCCTGTTCAGCTGTGCGATCTTTACAGTGACCTCATGTGCGAGCAATCTGTGGAGGATATGGTGTGCGCACTCACATGTAACCCAGGTGCGTTACAGCTCAATGAAAATAGTTATGTAGCAATACATCTTCCTTCAATACTTGCTATCAATACTTTTACGTTTTCTTGGCGCTTTTTCTGTCAGACTTTCATACTTTTTGTCTCTTGCCATACCTGTTCGTATTTTTAACGTTTTTCATAATCATAATTCCTTTTCTATGACGTTGTTCATGCAGATGCGGGTCGATACGTATCGGTAACAGACGGTGCTGTCACCATGGCTGTGTGCCCTAGCTATGCTTCCTTCGCCTATGGAGTTTGCAAGGGAACTACAAGTAAGAACTGCCTGAATATTGTGCTCTTATGGATGGATGAATGTATATGGTTTTGTGAGGACACGGGTATGTTTGTGTGTGTGGGTTCACATTTGCTACTGAGGGTGAGTGAATTCATGTGTGTGCACAGATTTCGGTGTTCTCTTCTATGCAGGATTTGATATTCGCACACTCACCTCCCTATCACCCCCCCTCAACGTGTACCCTTTATATCCCTGTTATGTGCAGTTGGGAACATGACACTCGAGTCCACCATTCCGGATGCTGCCACGTTCCTAAGCACAGTTGTCAGCAGCGTTATCGGCGTCGCCATGAACATTAGTAGCTTCAACATCACAGTGCAAGAGGTACAGTAACAAACTTATAGAAATTGCACATATACATTAACAAATGCACATGCACACCTTTATATCTCCGTTTGGATGGAACACATGCACATGCATCTGTGGACATGCAGCTATGCACATGCAGCCATACACATGCAGCTATGCACATGCAGCCATACACATGCAGCTATGCACATGCAGCCATACACATGCAGCTATGCACATGCAGCTATGCACATGCAGCCATACACATGCAGCTATGCACTGGATAAAGTTTGCACGCCCATTCACACTCACAAACACAACCACTGCCTCTCAGGCAGACATGCCCACTCATAACCACACTCCTCTTACCCCCCCCCTCTCCCCCCCTCTCCCCCCCCTCCTGGTCCTCCCCCCCACTCCACCAGACCTCCTGTTTCAACGGTTCGCCCCTCGTCCCCGCCACCCCAGCCTGCTGCGACCCGCTCTCCCTCCCCTCCTCCTGCCCTCTCGGCGCAATCGACCCCTCTAAATACCCCGACACCATCGGCCGAACCATCAACTCCTCTCTCTGCCTCTCCGCCTCCCCTCCCCCTCCTCCTCCCGCCTCAGCCCCCTCCTCCTCCTCCTCTCCCCCTGCTCCTTCCGCTCCCGGCTCTGCCCCTTCACCTCTTCCCGCCCCTGCCGGTTTCCCGTCTCCCTCTCCGCCTGCTCCTGCTGTGCCTTCTTCCCCGGAAGGCCCCCTGACCGGTACAGAGAATAACACGAGGCCTCCTCCCCCTCCCTCTCCTCCTTCCAAGGCTGCTTCTGCCTCCTCTTCTGCTGCTGCAGCGGCAGTGATGGCAGCTGTGTTGCTGCTTACAACTGCTGTTCTCCTGTAGGAAGGGGCTGATTCGACTCAAATTGCTGCTCTTCTTTGGGGGGTGTTTCTGTCGTTCTGTTTGCTCTGCCCTGAGAGGGCTAGCATGGGGTTGGATTGGGTGGTGGTGGGTTGTGTGGTGGGGGTGGGGGTGGGTGGTGGTGGGTTGTGGGGCTGGTTCGGCTGCTAGTGGACTGAGATTGTTTGGTTGTTCCTGGGGGGAGGTGCAAAGCGGTTCTCTTGGGTGCTTGTTGGTTTGTGGCAGGAGCAGCACGTGCTTTTCGGAGGTACACTGATTTCTAGGTTGATAACTAGACTGATATTACGTAGTCTGATACCAGTAGAAGTCCAGCTGATGCAGAGTCAGAAACTAAACAGCTTCTCCCGGTGTGGAAATGACATCGCCCTTTTGGTAGTGTACTACTGATATCCTGCCCACTGTACAACATTGTTCAAGTCAAAGCTAGTTGCAAGCAGAGTAGCAGTGGAGAGAAGAGAGGAGAGAAGGGAGAGATAGGGCGATGCAGAAGGGGAAGCAGGATTTGCGGAAGGGGAAGGGAGTCACAGCAGCAGTGCAGGTGCTAGCAGGGCAACAGCGGTGGAGAGAAGAGAGGAGTGAGGAGAGGAGAGAGAGGTAGACTAATGCAGGAGGGGAAGCAGGATTTGGGGAACGGGGAGGGAGTCACAGCAGCAGTGCAGGTGCTAGCAGGGCAACAGCAGTGGAGAGAAGAGAGGAGAGAAGGGTGATATAGGTGGATGGAGGAGGTGAAGCAGGATTGCCGGTGCTAGGGGGAGGAGGAGGGAGTCACAGCAGCAGTGCAGGTGCTAGCAGGGCAACACCAGCAGAGAGAAGAGAGGAGAGAAGGGTGACATAGGTGGATGGAGGCGGGGAGGCAGGCTTCGGAGGAGGAGGGGATGTAGTGATGGGTGGAGGAGAGGAGGGAGGAGTAGAGGGAGGGGGGGCTGAAGCCATTGGGGAGGGAGGGCTGGGCACGACGGGGAGGCCAGTGGGAGGAGAAGTGGGAGGAGAAGTGGGAGGAGAAGTGGGAGGAGAGGTGGGAGGAGAGGTGGGAGGAGAGGTGGGAGGAGAGGTGGGAGGAGAAGTGGGAGGAGAGGTGGGAGGAACGTCAACAGCAGGGGCGGGGGCAGGGGCGGGTACAGGTGAAAATTCAGGAGGAGGGGCGGGAGCAGGGGGAGCAGGGGCGGGAGGGGCAGTAGGGGCGGGGGCAGGGGCGGGCGGGGGGAGGATTCCAGCCTGGCAGGAGGAGGAGTTGACTGGGCGGTTGATGATGGCGGCGTATCGAGTGGTGTTGATGGCTGTAGCAGGGCAGGTGGGGGGGACGGCGAGAGGGTCGCAGCAGGCAATGTAGGGAGGGTACTGGGTGGTCCCTGCGAAACAGTTCGTCTGGAAGGGGGAGAGAGGGCGGGGAGGGGAGGGTGAAAATGAGCAGAGGAACATGGCACCAGGGTAACCAGGTAACCCATGTGCTTGATTGACCAACTCACTGAGACGTGCCATGAGACTGATGCATGTCAACCAATGCCCACACCCACTCACACCCACTCACACCCACTCACCGTTCCCACTTTTGCGGTGAAGCCCTTCACCCCCAGCACTTTGACTATGTTCCCGACCACTACGCACATGGGGCAAGGGACGCATTCCCATCCCATGTGTGTCCCCTCCTGATGCGTGTCAGCCAATGCCCACACCCACCCACACCCACCCACACCCACTCACCGCTCCCACTTTTGCGGTGAAGCCCGTCACCCCCAGCACTTTGACTATGTTCCCGACCACCATGGACATGAAATTCTTTGCGTCTGGAATGAAGTCTGTCAGGCTTACGCCATTGCCCACTGGGGGTGGTGGAAGTGAGAGGGAGAGGGGAGAAGAGACGTTTATGATTGGGACGCCTCAAAAACCACCATGGACGTGAAATTGGCCGCATTAAAAAAGAAGGTTGTCAGGCTTACGCCATCGCCCACTGGGGGTGGTGGAAGAGAGAGAATGAGAGAGTTAGGGGAGAGGAGAGAAGAGAAGTAAACAAATGAAGGCCTCAAAGACCACCATGGACGTGAAATTGGCCGCGTCTGGGGATGAAGGTTGTCAGGCTTATGCCGTCGCCCACTGGGGGTGGTGTGGGGAGAGGGAATGAGGGAGAGAGAGGGGAGAACAAGCGCGCGTGTGAGAGGTTCAATCAAGGGGCTGATACAGGGTTCAAGACGCCCAGCTCCGTGTGCCATTGTAACAAGGTGACTTTTGAGTCGACTCAAAAGTCACCTCAAGGGGCTGATACAAGGTTCAAGACGCCCAGCTTTTTTACAATGTTTCCATACAATTATGAACATGAATTTCACCACGCCTGGAATGAACGTTCATTCAGACATGGTCCGCCCGTCGCCCACTGGGGGTTGTGAAAGAGAGAGGGAGAGGGGACAAGCAAAGCTTAAGGCCCCTTCTATCCATGGCATACACACAGAGTGCATTTCGATTTTATACAATAGCCACTTGAGATGTAGAAGTGCACTTCGAGATTCTCACAAATTTTCCAATTTCCGTGATTGTTGGCGTGCCTGAGAGGCCCTGGCAGCTGTTGAACATTTCTTCAGCATAGGCCGGGCAAACGGTCATGGTGGGACCAGCAGTGGCAGCAGCACTGATAACAACAGCACTAGCAGCAGCACCGGTAGCACCGGCATCACACGTACCTGACAGCCCCTGACAGCTGTTGAACACTTTTTCAGCATAGGCCGGGCACACGGTCATGATGGGTAGCATTAGCGCCAGCAGCAGCAGGGGCGGCGGGTTTGATGTACATTCCGGCGTCCGGGTTGCATTGGGCGGCACACACGAGGTCCTCCATGGCCTGCGCGCACTTGATCTGGCCGGCAAACAAGTCGCAGATCTGAAAGAGGGTGAGATGGGGAGGGTAGCGCGGGAGAGTGGGGAAGCATGGAGGGTTGGGAAGTGTGTTTACGGAACAATCAACACGAGGTCTTCCATGGCCTGTGCGCACTTGATCTGGCCGGCGAACAGGTCGCAGATCTGAAAGAGGGGAAGGGGGAACGGGGGGAGAAGGGCTGAAAGGGGATGGGGGGGAAGGGAGAGGGAGGTGGTGGCGACACACACGAGGTCTTCCATGGCCTGTGCGCACTTGATCTGGCCGGCAAACAGGTCGCAGATCTGAAGGAGGGAGAGAGGGTGGGAGGGGGGGGGGGGGGGGGGGAAGGCGCGGAGAGAGGGGGGAGGGAGGGAGGGGAGGGATCGACACGAGGTCTTCCATGGCCTGTGCGCACTTGATCTGGCCGGCAAACAGGTCGCAGATCTGAAAGAATGGTGGGGATGGGCACAGAGAGGGGCGGAGAGGGAGGAAGGTGGGGGGGGAATTTAGAGAAGAGGACAATAAACAGTAGGCCCTCTATGGCCTGCGCGCACTTGATCTGGCCGGAAAACAGGTTGCAGATCTGAAGGGGGGTTGGGGAGGGGGAGGGAGCGGGGAAGGGTGGGGAGGGCGTAGGGGTGTGTGGTTGGGGAAGGGTGTTTGCGGAACAATCAACACTGGGTTGAAGGAGGGGGGGAGGATTGGGAGGGGGGGGAGGATATGGAGGGGGGGAAAAGTGGGGGTTGGGGAAATGAAGGTTGGGCGGGGGTGTGGAGTCATGAAAAGAACGTGTGTGGTTCATTCACGGCTAATGAGCACTGATTCCAAGAATTATGAAAGGCGCGCTCGAGCATAGGGGGAGGAAGAGGAAGGGAAAATTAAGGCCGAACCCCATCCAAACGAGTTACATCCCAATTGAACCCCAATTCAATTTCACGCATTAAATTCCAATTTGACACATGAGCTGAACCAGACCCATTAGATTCCATTTCGTCGCATTTAACCCCGGAATCAACTCACAGAATCCCAGGCTAACGTGAAAAATCCCAATTCAATGCAATGAATCGCAATTCAGCGAATTGAAGCCTGACGAATGCCATTCAAGTCAACGTAAAAGTATACGCTCGTTCTTCCAATGCTTTGCATTCTGCAGCCCGGCGGAACCAAGGCCATCGTTATAAGACCATTCGCTAAGCGGCATGCGAGATACAATTACAAACCCACCTTGGTTGTCCCGTTTGTTAAGTCCAGCAGCGCGGGGTCTGAAACCGCCACAAGATGATTCGTTTGAAGCACGCGAGGCACAACGAGGAACAGTAAGCCCACCTTAATTGTTGCATTGATAAAATCCAGCAGCGCGGGGTCGATAGCCGCCACGAGGTCGCCGAGCGTCGACCCGACGAGCATCAGGGCCGAGTTCAGATCCGTGCACGAATCACAGCACGACAGCTCAGCAGCGGCGGGACACCTGGACGGTACCACCTTGGGCTTCTGCGGAAGCTTCCCCGTCAAGGGGCACGCGGGGAAGGAGGAGGCGGGCGGGGCGGGGGGAGAGGTGGCGGGGGCGGGGGGGATGAGGGGTGCGGAAGGGGACGGGGCGGCGGGCATGATGAGAAGTGGCAGAGCGGGATTTGCGGATGGCGCGGCGAGAGTGGGGGAAGGTTGGAGGGCGGCGGCGACGAGGAGGACGACGACGAGGAGCGGAGACGGCGCGCTGCGAGTAGACCGCGCGGTACGAGGTGACGGCGCGCTTCGAGAAAATGGCGCGCTGCGGAAAGACGTTTGGATGGCCATGATGGTGTATGCAGGTCTGAGAACGTATTGAACGGTCGGCGCGTGTGACAACCGCCGCGAGTGTGACAGTAGCGAGTTTGACAGAAGCGGGCGTAAAAGCAGCTGAGGGTGACAGCAGCGGGTGTATCAGTATCGAGTGCTAGCAGCGAATGCGAGCGGATTTCTGGCTGTACTTTAAGACGCGACGCGAGCGATGCGCCGCAAGGAAGAGGTTGCGCAGAGGGGCGCAGGGTGAAAAAAGAAAGCGGACAGGACGACAGCACAGACACACAGACAGACAGGCAACCAAACCCAATCCAAGCACGATGGCCCTTCTGCGGAATCCGAGGGATGGGGGAAGGAAGAAATGGGAAGAGAAATTGACGGTGGAGGGAGCATGAAGGGGCGAGCTTTCTCTGTTCCGGTAAACCCTAGCTTTCGGAAGAACCCGTATTTGTAAGTTATTTTCAGAACATTATCCAGATCGGTCGTCAGAGGTCGAATTGAAGCTGTTTGGCACAAAAGGGTAGCGGAAGTATTGCCAAAAGCATCATGCTCTTTCATCAGACAGTGAAACACGAGGTTACAAACACTTTCTGCTGATGAATGACTAAAAAGGTATTCATTGGGAGATCAAGAAACTAAGGGGAAGATGGAACGACACGAAGGGGACAATTTTCGCACTTGAAGCAGCACAATTCGGTGCCGCACGCATCGCACCCCGCTGGTGGATCGTCGGGCATCTAGGGCTGAAATGGAGAATACACATGGACGGTTGGAATTCCGAAAGAAGCGCACATGGAATTGCAGTTTGCGGTGTTCTGTACATGAAAGCCTGTTTTCAGTACTCCTGGAAATATTAATAGTTTCGAGGTGTACCTCTTCAAAGCAGGGCTGGAAGACACGGAAACAGAGAGTTGTCGGGCAACGTTATTGGCCAAGAGGTTCTGGCGAATTTCCGACAAGAGACGCAATTCGTTGCGACCTCCCTCAACGATATGGACCACGCGATTTGTTGATGTACCCATAGAACAGCCCCTTTACATGCAGATAAATCATTTCACCAAATGTTCATACACATCAACCATACTACTAATACGGGTACAAGGAGTCTACTTCAACACTATTAGCTGAATTAACTACACCAGAAGCATTAACCCATACACAGTGCCTATACAATAACTGTCATAGTATAGTGCGTCCCCTAGCCAATAATTACCATACCACACTACAGCACAAGCAAAGCCACAGCCCCATAAATAAGGTATCTAACCACCGATGCATAGCAAGCAGCGGACGGCGAGCCTGTTTTGGGAGATGCAGGAGCAGGTGGGGTGGGAGGAGAGGAAGACGAAGAGGGCGACGAAGGGGAGGGGGTAACCACAGGAGGAGATGGGGAGGGGGTGGTAACCATAGGCGGCGACGGGGAGGGGGTGGTAACCATGGGTGGCGAAGTGGAGGGCGGTGCAGTTGGGGCCGGGGAGGGGAGGGGGGCTGAACCAGGGGCAGAAGCGGAGGGAGGAGCGGAAGGAGTGGAGGCTGCGCAGTTGGCTGGGTCGATGGTTCGGCCAATCAGATCGGCGTATTCGGTGATGTTGACCGAACCGGCCGGGCAGGTGGCAGGGACGCTGAGCGGGTCGCAACAGGCAATGTTGGCGGGGTAGACTCCGCTGCTGGTGAAACAGCGAGTCTGAGGAGAGAGGGGGGAGAGTGGGAGGGGGAGGGGGGAGGGGGGGTTGAAGAGAGGGGAAAGGAGAAGTTGAGAGGGTCGCAGCAGGCAATGTTGGAGGGGTAGACTCCACTGCTGGTGAAACAGCGAGTCTGAGGGGAGAGGGGGGAGGGCGGAGGGCGGTGAAGAGAGGGAAAAGGAGACACTGAGAGGGTCGCAGCAGGCAATGTTGGCAGGGTAGACTCCACTGCTGGTGAATCAGCGAGTCTGAGGGGAGGGAGGCGGGAGGAGAGAGGGGGAGAGGGGGCAATAGGGGAGAGGGGGGGAGGGGGCAACAGGGGAGAGGGGGAGAGGGGGCAATAGGGTGGAGGGGACACTGAGAGATTTGAAGCAGGCAATTGTGGTTGGGTAGACTCCGCTGCTGGTGGAGCAGTGAGTCTGAAGGGAGAGAGGGCAGGGGGGACGGATGGGTGGGGGAGGCAGAGCAGCACAAGCAAGGGACTGCGGAAGGTTGCAGCAACCAACGCTTGTGAGGTAGACTTAACTGCTGGTGACACAAACCGTTTAGGGGGCCTACTATGGAACAGATACGCACTTCTTAACAGTGATAGCACTGCATACAAGCAGTTACTCACTGTAGCACGGCTAGTACTCATTGCAATACAGTTACACACTGTAGTGAATTCGAACTTGATGTTAGCAATCCCAAGGGACTTGACGACATTAGCCACGATGATGTTCATGAAGTCCGGGTAAGATGTAATACAGTTTTACTCACAGTAGCGCAATTACTCACTGAAGCACAGTTACTCACTGTAGTGAATTCGAACTTGAAGTTGGCAATCCCAAGGGACTTGACAACGTTAGCCACGATGATGTTCATGAAGTCCGGGTAAGAGGTGATGAGTCCCGTCAGATCCATACCGTCGCCCACTGTTGCTCAGAGTGGGAAGAATGAAAGGAGAGAGAGGGAGAGGAATTGATGTCGCGCCAAAATAATAGGGGGTCGACCATTCGCATTGACCATTAAACAATAGATTAATAAACAATAGATTAATAGTCAACGTGAAAGGCCACTGCAGGCTTTGAAAATGGTGTCCGCGTGTCCTCTTAGCCAGTGCGTGCAGACGGTAATTGTGGTGGATGAGCCGGAAGTGAAGTTTTGAGGAGCCTAAAATGAAACGAATTCTTACTGGAGAGGCCACTGCAGGCTTTGAAAATGGTGTCCGCGTAGCTACTAGCCAGTGCGGACAGTCATGGTGATGGATGGATGTGCCTGGGGGATTGTTTTTGACGAGCCTAGAAAGTGCAGAATTCCTTACAGGAAAGGCAGCTGCAGGCTTTGAAATTGGGTGTCCGCGTATCCAGTGCAGACCGTCATGGTGGTGGAATTGTTGGGAACAACAACGGCGACTGCTTACGTGATGGAGAGTTTTGAAAAGGAAAGCTTACAGGAAAGGCCGCTGCAGGCTTTGAAAAGGGTGTCGGCGTAGCCGGTGCAGACAGTCATGGTGGTGGAGTTGTTGGGAACAACGTCGACGTAGGAGCCCGAGTTAGGGTTGCATGTTATTCCGCACAGGAGATCCTCTATGAGCTGCGCGCACTGCGCCTGGCCCGTGAATAAATCGCACACCTGTGAGGTGATTGTTTTAATGAAACGGGAGAACATGGGAAAGAGAATCATGGAGAGTAAAGCACTGTGCGCGCACTGCGCGCCTCTCAGCAAATGATCCATCAGCTGCGCGCACTGCGCCTGACCCGTGAATAAATCGCGCACCTGAGGTGGTTGAATATCTGGAAGAAATGAAGACGATGAGAAAACGAAAAATAGAATGCAAACCGACCGCCGTGCGCAAGACGCGACGGACGGAACAGCCAAAACTCATCGGTTTTTGTTAATCGAATCGCTCTTTGCTACTCGCGTTATTGTTTGGTCGTGACAAGAAGCATCGAGACGTGCTGGTGTTGCCTTCAGGTCCGCATTGATAACATTCAGCAACTGCAAACAAATTCTGACGCGCCTAGAATAGGAGGGTGACCTTGAATTTCTTGTCTATCATATTCCGCGAACTGCGGTTCGCTAGACTTGAGGAACCTAGAGGACAAAGCCTGCGCTCAGTTCGGCTCGGCTCGGTTCGGCTCGGTTCGGCTGACCTTGAGCTTCTAGTTGACTCAAAACTCGAAAATACAGCCCGTGGTGGGTTCGGCTCACCTTGAGCTTCGGGTCGATCAGGTCTACAAACTGTGGGCTAATCTGCGACACGACGCTGGTAAGATTCGTCCCGACAATCCCGAGGGCCGTGTTCAGATCCGTGCAGTCGGCGCAGCAGGACGCATCGACAGCGGCCATGCATCGTGACGGGGGAACCGCCGGTTTTGTCGGCTGCTTCCCCGTGAACGGGCACGCGGGATATTTCGGCGACGGCGATGCTGCTGGCGACAGGCAGTGGACGTGTGCGACGGAGAGAGTGGCGACGACGAGGAGGAGCAACAGCCGGGAAGCGCTTTTCGGCATCATGCCTCTATTTTCTTTTCCACTAGACGGCCACACGCTGAGTACTACCCTAGAGTCCCTTATGCGACAGCCCACAGAGTTCGGCGACAGGATTCGTGTCAACCTGAGCGACAAACGACACAATGGGATCCCTGCACTACGGTCGCATCTGTGTTGTGGTGAAGTAATCGAGGATATAAGAGCCCGTTACTCCAAGAAAGGGAATATGCAATCGTCAGCTGAGCCAAAGGCAGAAGAGGAACTAGGCCAGATAATAGCTCCTTGGGATTTGCTGCACCGACAGATCGATTATTTAGGTCTGGGAAGGAAATAGTGCTCGGCGAGAGAGCATAAATGAGCTATTTTCGTTTCCAGCTCGGCGAGCAACAGAATTACTGCTGCAAGACGATTGACGAGATCGTCGAATTGAAGAACCATGTAACCTAGCGACCGTCGTCATGGACCGCCGACAGCAGCGGCAGCGAATGTGCTTGCATAGTGCATCTTCTGTCGTTCCAGGAGCTGGGGCGCGTTTTGGTGATCAGAAAGCTCCAAACGACCTGTCAAAGGGTTTTGAACGGCCAAACAAATATCGTTCGCTGCAACTTTAGATCTGCACCGTTAACAAAAAATTAAAGACCCGTCAGGCTCAGGTGATCGAGGGGTGTTTCTGACGGTCTCCACCTCCAAATGGCGACCGAAATCGGCCGAAAACTGCCGTGTTTCCTTCTGGAACCAAATGAAGAAAAACGTTTCTAGAAACAGCCGGGTCTCGCAGTTCGATAACATGGATTCCTATACAAGCTCGAATGTGGTTGGAATGTACACTCCATAACCTTGGCGTACATATGATAAGTTCAGTCAAATATAACACTCGGCAACTGTTTGGTCTTCGTCAGATTGATTGCATTGACACTGGCTGGTTCCACGATTCAATAACGTGGCAACTGTCCCTCAACTGAGATGTGGGGTATTGCGTTACAGTCCGGATTTGGGGCATCCTTTTGTGGCGAAGTAGGAGGAAGCTGATTGTATCACCTTCTGAAGGCTGAGAACTCCGTAGAGGTGGTGGTGTATCCCAGGGGGTGCGCTTATCAGGCAAGAGGTAAGAGCAGCAGACTAGGGCGACATGACTTGTCAGGTCATAGCTGGGTCAAATCATCTAAGTGCATGGATTGTTACTTGTGTCCAAATACAAATGTCGGTTTGCCAACGTCTGTCTGTTCTGTACAGGGGGATCCCAAAAATCCCCACATACTTATACCTCAAAATACTATTGGAGCAAGCATCCCTATGGCCACATAAAGCACATAGCTAGAAAATAAATAACGGGCTGCAATAGCTGACGAGCCAGTTTTGGGAGGGGGAGGAGGAAGGGGGGGTGGGGGGTTCGTCGTGGTACTAGTTGTGGGTGGCAATGGAGGGGGTGTGGTGGCTTGGCACGTAGCCGAGTCAATGGATCGACCAATCGGACCGCCATATTTTGCGGTGATGTTGGCAGGACAGGTGGCAGGCAAATCGAGAGGATCGCAACAGGCGGTGTACAGGGGATATGCGCCAGTGCCATTGAAGCAAGGTGACTAGGAAACGAAGTTATGGGCACGAAGAGAAAGGTGAAGAGGGGGGTGCAGGGGGGGGAAGCGTTTGAGAGAGAGAAAGGGGGGGGGGGGATGGGATGGGGAAGAAAATCAGGCCTATAAGCTAAGGGATGAGATCAAAACCTTTCAGAGCAGTATGGTGCATTGCACAATGGTTGTGTGAGAAGACCTCACTCTGCTTGGCATCCCCAATTGGAACAAAACCTTACCACAGACAGTTCACAATGAACTTGAATCAAGGGAGGGACGGAGAAACAACACGAGAAATGAGTGATAGAGAAGTGGAAGAGCGGGGGAAAGGGGAAGCACAAAAGAACGTGTGAGAAGCGCTTACTGAGGATATTTGGACCTCAAAACCCTCGACTCCAAGCGTCTTGACCACGTTTGTAACAACGAGGGTCATGAATTCGTCAGCTGCGGTAACCAGTCCTGAAAGGGAAATGTCACCGACTGTGCTTGGAGCGAAGGGTGAAGTGAACAGAGAAAGGAAAAGGGGGGAATCCAGTGAAAACAAAGTGTGGAGCAAAAGACAATTGACAGTAACAGAGAAGCTTATAGCGGGTCTGACATGCATAAGAACATGCACTAGTAACAAGAATCAAGCTCATGTGCCTGCCATAATCATATGAGTTACCCTTGCACCCTGAGCAGGACATGAATACTCACAAGCACGGCTCTTGCACCATGCGAAGACATTGTCTTCTAGATTTGAGCAAACATCAGGCTGTGAGACATATCAAAACTTGGAGAAAATTGAAATGTATACATCCTGATGACACACATTTGAGGCCCTTGCACCGTGCGAATATTCTGTCTGCTAGGTCTGAGCACACATTCATGCATAAAACGTCAAAATATTTAGAACTAGAAAACTCTATAAGTGTGAGTGAATATCCTGAAGATACTCACTTTCAAGGCCGTTGCACCATGCGAATACTCTTTCTGCCAGATCCGAGCACACATTCAAGACGACTAACGGTTCTAGTGTCAGGTACTCGAGGTATGTGGATACTCTGATGGTACTCACAAGCAAGGCCCTTGCACTGTGAGAATACTTTGTCTGCTAGATCCGAGCACACGTTCATGATCACCCCTGTGTTGGATTTTGTCGCGTAGGACCCAGCATTAGGGTTGCAGGAGAGCCCGCACACAAGGTCCTCTAGGAGCTGCAAGCATGGCGTCATGCCTATGAAGATATCGCACACCTGGGGGAACATGAGATGGAGCAGGCGAGGAAGAGAGTCTTATGACGAGGCTTTTGAGTGCATGACTCCGGAATCAGGCTCTTGAGCTGAACCTATGAGGCCCCCCATGGAAATTTTTGCATAAGAGCCGCATCATGCAACAATTGCGCGCCTCTAAGCCTGCCAACGCACCGCTATGCTAGAATCGATCCCATCAGCGATGGTGGGGTTAATCTGAGTCACCACGTCCTTTAGACTTGATGCTACCAGCTGCAAAGCCGTGCTCATATCCGTACAGTTGTCGCAGCATGATTGGTACTTGGCGGCCGGGCAACGCGCAATCGGAATGGTGGGTTTTTTGGGGGGCAGCCCCGTTAACGGGCAGATGGACGACGCCATGCCTGGGGCAGCCGGCAAGCCCGGCGCGGGAGGCGGGGAAGCGGCCTGTCCGTGGAGGTTAGCGAGCGTGGCAAGAACGAAAAGAAGCACGAAATCCGGACGCCTCGCCATGGCTAGACGTGAATGAGGAAAGTGACGAGCTTGTGAGTGGACTGGTTTGAGCAGAGACTGGAAATACTAAGCAAATCAAGAAAACGCAAGTCCCACAAAATGAGGGCGTGTCCCTAAACAGCCAGGCCTTTCTGACCTCCCATTGATTGGCCAATTCGTGCCTTTAGCCAATCGATGGCACAAAGGGCTGTTTGCTCACTATCGGGGATAGCCTATTGAACACTACTGATAGTGTAACGGGCTATTTGAAGTACAACAATATGATATTTCCAAATCTATGTGCTCCTAAAAGATACAAGTTCCTCAGCATGTGGAACATCAAGAACGATGCCAGCCTTGAAATTATGGCAGAATTTAAGTTTAGAAGTTATATTGAGAGGAGAGCGCGCCACGCTGCCTGGACACTGGTTCAAAACAAACAACGGAGCAGAAAACCACGCAAAACACATGGCACAGGAAAACAAAGACGGAAAGAGAACGCGAATATATTGGTTGGGGTGGAAGGAGGAAACACTAATTAGAAAAAAGAACGAGAAGATACCACCAGGTGAGAGAAAAATCTCAGATCCACATATGTACTCTCATCATGACCATTACCTGTACATGTTGTTGCTTGTTGTCTACCATAGTCAAATAGCAGGCCTCTGGAGTCGTGACAACACACGCCGGCCGGCCGTTGTGGAGCCAATCAGAGTTCATCCTTGGCACAATATTGAGGGAGAAGGGGCTCACCCCTGCCAGCCCTGCTGCCATGTAGCCAAAGGTGGAGCTGTCACTCACCAGCAGCAGGTCACTGAGGCGGAAGGGGAGTGGGTGAGGGTGGGGCACGAGGAAGGGTGAGGTCGGTATCAGCAGGCGTGCTGCACTCCTGTCCTGCCAGCCCTGCTGCCATGTAGCCGAAGTTGGAGCTGTCACTCACAAGCAGCAGGTCGCTGGGGGGTGAGGGGAGTCCTGAGAGGTGGGGCATGAGGGCGGGTGAGGAGGGTATCAACAGACGTGCTGCACTCCTGCCAGCCTGGCTGCCATGTACCCAAGGTGGAGCTGTCACTCAGCAGATTGCTGGGGTGGAGGGGTGGGGGAGAGGGTGGGTGGAAAAGAAGCAGGCGATGCATGGTGGGTAATAGGTAAACTCCTAACTGCCTTCAGACACAATTGCCAAGGCCACATGGACAGCACTGAAGGCATAAGCATGTTTGCATGAAATAATCCACGCGAAAAAACCATGAGCAATCCAGGTGATCAGTTCTACATGAACAGTGCCCCATGAACAGTACACCAAGAACATTACCACATGAACAATATACACGAACAATACCACACGAACAGAACCACATGAGCAGTACCACATGAACAGTACCACATGAACCGCACCACATGGAGAGCAGCCACATCTCCTTGAGAGCTCTCTCCAGCTGCAGCAGGTCGCCTGTCTTCTGCTCGCCCTCATGACTCAAACTGCACACATGGAGCGATGGAGGCAGTGACATGAGGGAAAGCCGTGCCGTAAGTGCCTCAGAAAACAGAGAACAAGGAAAAGGGAGTGGTAGTGATGATATCCTGTGAGGTATGATGCAATGACCCTTTTATGATGTGAGAAGCAATTCTCACCTGGTAACTGCAACATTGTAACCCTCCAGTGGTAACCCTTCCACATATGCCTCGTGCAATGCATCCACGTAGGAGCGCTTTAAAGAAGCCACCAGCACACCAACGCTACGCACAGTGCCAACTCCTGCTGCCTTCTGGATTGGCTCCATATCGCTTGAGTTGGCTGCACTCTATGATGTGGAACAGGACAGCATAGATGGAGATGAGATGCGAAAAAAAAAGAGCAGTTTATGCGAATTAGACAAGAGTGGGGTGGTATTTGCTGTGATCATGATGCATCAAACAGAACAATGTTGAGGAGAAGCGTCTCGCAAAAGAGAGGGCAGGGAAGTACCCCAAGATTACCGTATATTGTTTTGTTTACCTGGTTGCTTGCCAGAAGCCGCCACTGGTCATGAGACAGGGCGGGTGGAAGACCGTGGGAGATGTTGACAGCACAGTGCAGCACACGAGCGAGGGCCTCACCCTCGTTGCTGCTGGCTGTGGTAAAGTCACGGATCTGGTGCACAAGACAGGAGGAAAGAGGAACGCAATACATGGATTAGAGAGGAGGACAGAGGAAAAACAGGGGAAACAGACAAGGTGAGGAGGAATGAGGGTTGTAATGGAGGTCCGAAAGCCTTCTCCTGATTCTGAAAAAAGGAAGGGTACCTAAACTACCAAACCCCTATCTTCCATTGGACCAGGCCTTGATGCCTGCCGAAGCTTTGGCTTGGATGCCAAGGCTGAGTACAAGCGGACCTGAATGCCGACCCTGTGTTGGTATGGGGCGAGGTAGGCTCGGAAGGCGCGGGTGATTTCCTCCCAGAGGTAGTTGGCGGGGTGCAGCAGGTAGCGCCCCACGTGCATCAGCGGCAGGCGGTCGGGGAATAAAAGCTCCAACTCAGCCTGGGGGAAAGGGGAAGCACAGAGGGGAACACATAGTTCATAGGATGGCACTCTTGCCCCACGTGCATCAGCGCCAGGCGGTCGGGCACCAGCCGCTCCAACTCAATCTGTTACACAGGGAGGAGCATCGAGAAGATTAAAGAACAGCAAAAGTAGAGGGACGAGGGGAAAGGGGACCTGTACTGCTGAGCCACGTGCATCGGGAACAGGTGGTCAGGGACCAGCTGTTCGCGCTCAGACTGCAAGGGGGGGCACAGGGGAAGAGACAGCAAGCGAGGCACTGACTAGGATCATGTGAGCATGTGGACAACAGTTCACAAGAAGAATGAACGTTGCGTGAAAAGAAAGAAGGCTTTCACGGAAGACAAAATAGAATAGGAAGAGGAGACATGTCACATACATCGAATTCGGGCACGAGGTACAAGCCAGGCAGAACGTACTCCTCTGTGAGCAGAGCCAGGAAACGGACGGCTGCGATTCTCTCCTGCTCATGCGAGCAGAAGAATACGAGATCTGTGTCGTTCACTCTGTGCGCAGGGCGGATGGGAGCGAACGGAGGGGAGAAATCACGAAGAAAGGAGAATGGCAAGAGAGAGTGAGGTAACTGTGAGGGTGGGCGGGAGAAGAAGGAGTGTAGGACCAGGAGAACTTTGCTACTTAGATCAGTGTGACTTACGAGTAGTTGAGGTTGCTGAACAGAGCATCAGCCGCATCAGTATCATCCGTGGTGTTGGTTGTAGGTGCACCTGGTTCTTGAAACGCATTGTAGCCCACACGCCTCTTCTCAGCTCTCAGCCTCATGTGGCTGGCGAGGGGCAAATGGGCGGATGGGGGAGGGTAGAAGAAAGAGAACCATGTGTTGGCTGCGCACGTGCACAGTGGTGCACCTGGTCTTTGCATTGCATTGTTGCCAAAACGTTTCGACTCCCTCTTAGCCACATGTGGCTGGAGATGGGTGTATGGGAGGGTGGAAGGAGGGAGCACGTGGGGTTGGTGGAGAGCAGGAGGTTGTGATGCTCACAGAGTAGTTTAAGTCCGCTGTGTTAGGGGAATGTAAGGGGACTATGGGGATGTGCTTACTCGCTGCATATAAGGGGTCCGGATACGGAGGGAAGGCAGAGCAGCATATCAAACCATGAGAAAGGACGGATTTTGCAAGTCGTAGAGGAAAATAAAGTAGATAGAACAAAGACCACAGAAATAAGTACACAGATGAAAGCACATAGGGGAAAGCAACGCGAGTGCTTACTTGAAGGAACCCCTGTTGAGAGCGGGGGGAGCCCATGAGGAGTAGGGGAAGGGGTTGCAGAGAAGACGAGCAGGGAAGCACTCAGGGTTGATGAGGAGAGTGCGGTTGGTGAGGAGGGCGTAGGTAAAGGAGGAGACGAGGGAGAGCAGCTGGTTGCCCAGGCCTGGACGAAAGGGTCAGGTTTGTTGTGTGTGAGGGGGGGGGGGGGGGAGGGGAAATAATGCGGAGAGGATGAGGTGACTGGTTTGATGGGGAAGAGGCAGGTGAAAGAGGAACGAGGGAGACGAGCCGGCTGCTCAAACCTAAACAGGAAGAGGAGGAAAGGTATTGATGGAGAGGAAAGGAATGATAGGGGGTGCAGATGACAGAGGAGGCAAGTGAACGAGACGCAACTTATACTGTGGCTCTGTGTTGGTAATGTTCGAAGAACTTACCACTGTAGTTGGGCTCAACCCAGAGAAGGTACTTGCATCCTGCCACGTGTGCAGCAGTCGCATTCTCTTGAAGGCCCTTGGATCTTCACGCATGGGCAGGAGAATGGTGCATGACGGGAGGCAGGGGAAGCAGGAGTCAGCGTTGCGGGGCTTATGCAGTGTTGGTGGATGTGACCACAAGTGAAGAATGACCCAGGTGCTGCAGATTACGGTTCAGGTGCATGCATGTATGGAAGATCACAACTTGCATCTGATGTTGGACATGGTAATCGATTTTACAGCTTAAAGATCGCTTGGAGAATAGATGGGCTCACGGATCATTGAAAAATGCCGGCCAGTTGGTTATTGAAGCCGTGCATGCTGCATGGAGGGTGGAATATTGCTGCAGCCGCTGCACTAGGGCCTCTGACATGTGTGCTTTGTTGCTGTATGACTGCGATACAGTCACACACGCCAAGGGACAGACATATCAATAGACCCACATGTCGTTAGACAGACATGTCAACAGATGAACGCGTTAACAGCCACAAATTTCAACACACAGACATGTCAATAGACACAACACACATGTTAAAGGTAACACATGTCAATACGGACATGAGAGTACGAGGATAGACATGTAAACTCACAATAATCTAGGAACATCCATGTTGTAGCACGATGCAACCGTGAATGACGCATGCAGAAACACATCCATGCGCGGAATAAGAAGCACACGTACAATACACACACATGCATGCGAACAGATGTAGAAGCCCATTACATGCATGCGAGCACATGCAGAATGCATGCATATTCATGCAGCCATTCAGTCATACAGATCGGTAGTAACGTCGTTCAGACATGCTCCAGCAGCGAGCTGGAGAATCAAGATCCGCATTGACAGCAGTGCTGCTTCCGTCAGCGGTAACACCGAGGGTTCCATCAGCACCGTTGATTTCAGATGTCACCGAAGCGACTTCGCCGTAATCATGGCGGTAACGATGATGGCGAGCTCTAAGAGCCGCATCTGGTTCGTACAATAATCGACGTCCTTGTGCATTCTGATGATGCGGTGTTCTAGAATGGGTAGGAGCATTGAAAGGATCAGGAGAGCCAGCGAATGCGTCGCAAGACCGGCACTTGAGTGAACGCACGAGACAGGTAAACGTCAGAAGTTGAATAACAAAGTGGCGAAGTCGCTTCAGAAGCCGGATAGAGTTGCCATGAGTCATTTTCGATTGAAATGGTAGCGTGAGCGGTGATTCATTGCAAATCCCAAGGTCAAATTCACGCAGGTGGAACAACAAGGCAGACCTGTTTGGCCTGAATGATCAGGGTCAGAACCGTATTCACTGTACGTAACAGCTCAGAATCTGTTTTTTGTTATCTAAGAGCCAGTAGCATCCTCTGTAGAACGGAGAAGTTTTGTTCACAGCTCAAACAGAAAACACAAGCTTGTAAAATCCTCCACCAATCAGAGGCGAGCAGGTACAGACACGGACAGTACTGAACTTCGGGGCCTATGTAAGAAATTACGCCCTTCTCACAGAGATCTCCTCCCTTGGGTGAACCCCTTCAGTTCCACTATCAATCGGACACCATCACATTTGAGTGCATTTCTTCACTGCAGAAAGGAACAATTTCTGTCCGTTCAGACCTGCCATGGCTGCCAGTGTTTGTATCGTCAATTCTACATGGGCGACTCGCAATCACAATGTTTATAAGCTCCTCATGGCTGAAAGCGGCTTCAGAACAAAGGAATCTAATATATTGCCTGTATGCAGTTACGCCAGTCACCCCAGTGCTGAATCTACCCAATGCCGGTTACCCTAACTTGAGTGTGTTCTTATAGGACGTTATTGTCAATTCCGGCGGCCTGTCCATAGCATTTATGGTTGGAAGCTTCCAAAGATCAGACAGTGAGCTCTGGCTGAAGTAAGATTGCCACGTTTCAGTTTCCAGCATCCGATTCCCTTGTGATGTTGACACGAACGCCATGCACAGGATATTCAAGGTCGGCCAGATGTTTAGGCATTCATACGGCTTATGCGTCTGTCCAAGCTCTCAAGACAGCAACGACTTCGCTCGCCTGTATTGCCAGTAAGGCACACAGATTATCCGACACCCTTCTGGCTCTATTCACCAGCTCTAACATGCCGTGGTTTCAGACACAACAACCAAGGTGTGGTGAAGCCGCCTATCATTGAAGTCATTGACGAGAGATCTGCAGTGGAAAAGCTTTTACGGATGGTTCACGTTCTTTCAGGTGGGTTAAACGAATTTATCTCTTACCTGTTTCAACCGTCCGTCTGGACTGACCATTATCAACTTGCAGAGGCCAAGAAGCAGCAGACTGCCTCACTTCTTAACGAAGAGGTATGTTCCTCGGATTTCTGTTCACAGCATTGACGTTCTCAAGGTCTAGCATAGTTTTGTTCAACTTGAGCCATGCCAAGCCAATCTTACAACCTAACCCTTATTCTTGCAGAGGACCGAGTTTGTGCAATCTTCAGAAGCCATTATCGCACCCCTACTAACCATACCCGGCTTGGCCCCTCATGAAGCACAAATGGTATCATACCATGAATTCTCTATGTGGGTTACTAGATTGATACGTAAAATGTGTACTGAAGGTACCATAATTTGTTGCAGCTACTTTCCAGCTTTGGATCTATTGATGCTGTGGCATCTGCAAGTTCAAGCAAGATTGCTGGGACTACAGGAATTCCCTTACACAAAGCTGAAGCAGTATCTAGTTTCTTTCGGGACATCTGACCACCATACCATACCATAGTCCTTTTGGGACACACCGCAGCCTGCTAGGCTCAAGAATCAGCATTGCTTTCATGGGATCAATTATGGTATATGAAAAACGAAGATGATTGATTAACTAGCTTTCTCTAACTATTACCAGAAGCAAGTACACATCACAGCAGCAACAATCAGGGAAGAAGAGGTAGTGTGCTTAAAACGCCTAGGCCCGGCAGAAACTGTAAATGCTAGTGGTGAGGTCTGGTGATGGAATTAGCAATTAAAGCAATTGCAGCAATTAAGCTTCAGAAAGTTATGTCAAAAAAGTTGCTAGGTCAATGGATCAGTTTGTTAGTCACTGTCAGTTGTGGTATTGTGTCTCTGGTCAACCACCAGGTCAACCTGCTCTGCAACTAATATGTTGCAAGCGGAAGTATAGAAACTCGGAATCCCATCAGCCTGGCTTGCCACTGCTGCTGACGACCCAGTCGAGCCTCCTGAGGTGCATGAAACACAGCACCGACGCTGCTCCATGCATGTATACACAGAGGAACCCTGCTAATCCAGCTGGTGCTCAGCTGCAAGAATGTCCGCAGCAGTAAGTAATGGATGCTCCACTACTCGCAGCCGCTGCTTCTACCGTATCTTGGCATGTAGCTCTGTAGAGGACCCATGCAATGCCTGCTGCTCGTATGGACAGACTGAGCTTGCCTGTTGCTCCTCTCATTCAGCTCCATCACCTAGCCTAATCATCTGCTGCTATCACTGCTGTGGTGAGTCTGCTGCTGCTCCAGTGAGCATCTTTCAACTCATCCAGCATAACTACCTGCTGCTATCAGTGCAGCACTTGAGAAAGCAGCTGCTGCTGCTCCATTGGGGATCTTCCAACCCATCCTGCCAACTGCCTGCTGCTCCAGTAGGGATACTCGAACATATCCAGCCTAGTAACTACCTGCTGCTATAAGTGCAGTGCTTGAGCCATCTGCTGCTGCTCTATGCAACTCCTCCGCCCCAACTTGTTGTTACCACAGCAGTGCTGCTGTGTCCACCAGATTGGATCTAGAACCCTCCTCCATTCTGCCATGATGGCTGCTCAATCGATTTTGTCAAAACTCAGCTACGGTACCCAGCTACATCTATCTGAGGCTAATTATCCTACATCCTCAATGCGTCCCAACAGCTGCTGTTACCGCCTGAAACACCGCAGCAGTGCCCACAGCAACTAGCCAGCTACGTGCCTACCTACACTATCCCCCGAGTCACCACGTACACTCTTGTTGGTGCATGTCATTGCATGCTACTCACTCACTACTCACTTTGCTTTACGTGTCATACGGGCCAACGTACGTGATTGGTCGGTTCTTGAACCATGCCACCATCTCAGGATCCAATGGCTTCGCTGCAATCGCAGCGTCGAGCATCGGCGAGCCGAAAAGTTTTCGGGCTGACCGGAAGTCCCAGATGGACGATTCGGAGGATTTGGGCCACGGCTTCTCGGGCATCTTTTCCTGTTAGGGCAGGAATTGATTGCGTGTTGAGGGGGTGGGATTGGGTGAACAGTCGAGAAGACAAGGCATCACCATGAGGGAGAGCCAAAGGAAGGGAGGGGAGACAACGAATGTGAGGGATGGAAGGAGAAAAGGCCCGGAAAACAGTCTGGGAAGGAAATGGGAAGATTAAAAGAAGAAACAAAAAATCGGCTCGACTCATTGCTGACGAAGCTCACCATGCGATGCAACAGCGACCTCCGCTCCCTCTGCCCATATGCCCTTGGCAGCGCCTGCAGTGGGTTCTTTGAGTAACAAGACGATGGGTCCGGCAAGAGAAGACACCCCCTTCTCAACGCCCTCAACGCCTTGCCCGGATCCACCAGCGTCTGCTTGAACCAAAATATCAGCTGCCCGTAAATGTAATCGCTGTCGTACTCTTTCACCCACTCCCACTCGTCTTGCTGCGGGTAATGTGCGAAGGAGGAGGAGGAGGAGGGCGGAGGGACGGAGGGAGAGGGCGAGGCGATGTTTCGGCCAAGGTCGGATGCGACTATGGTCATGGATGGGGAGTCGAAAGGTGGGTATTCGTGCAGGGCGAACACGTTGGTGGTGTAGGCGTATAGATGGATGAGATCGGCCGCTGCATCGTTTCGGCTGCCCGCAGTCACGGGCAGTTGAAGCAGCTCGTCCCGCAGCCTGAAAAAAAGGCGAATGAAAAAAGGGGAAGAAAAAGGAAAAGACAGAGGAAAGAAGGAAAAAACGAGAGGCAGAGGCAGAGACGTGAGACAAGGAGAAACATCAGACATTGGGATGAGAGAAGGAGCAGAAAAAACTAGCTGCACCTGTACTTTCCCCACCAACCCTCTCCCC